GCGGATGTATGTTTAACGTGTAATCAGCTCCATATCTACAGTTAGTAATCTTCTAACTTTTCGAAATTAAAACCGTGATTTTTCAGATTAAAAAAAAAGTCACTTTTCTGATGTTATTCCCTGTACCCTTCATACATAAATATATATTAGTTATATTATCAAAAAAAAAAAAAAAAAAAAATGAAAATTTTTCTTAGGGCTTACGCTTTTACGGNATTACGTCGAAAGATGACCTCTCTAAAGTACCAACCCAATCGGATTTCCTCTGACGGTAGAAAAGTTGTCCGCGGAAAACAAAAAAAAAAAAAAAAAAAAATGTAAATTTTTCTTAGGGCTTACGCTTTTACGGTGATAAGCAGGTATCTAGATATTTCGTACTCACTCTAAAAATGTCCAAAAAGTAAAATAAAATGTGACCAATACATATGATTGTATTTGTGTGACCGTGCAGAGGTATTTTTGAGAGGCCCTTTTAGAAATTCACATCCAGACACTGCAACGCGTGATTGGAAATCTGTACCTACCTTTTCTTAATAGATTCTGTTTTTCAAACAGGTCATAATGGGTGGCGGTAAAAAATCTTTCGATGGCGATTGGCCGTCGCGGACCAGACGCAATTCAAAAAACTTAGACTTCGACAAACACATGTGCGTAAGAACCGACGGTAAAAATCTCACTCACGATTGGATCAAAGACAAAATGTTTAAACAATTGTCGTATGCGTATTTGAAAAACGAAAACGACTTGCGTTCTTTGGACACGGAAAACACGGAGTACGTTTTGGGTAGGTATCCAACACGTAATATTCGCCTTTTAGTCGACCTTACACACACACACACACACACACACACACACACACACACACACACACACACACACACACTCACGGGCGCCCGGAGGAGGGGGCGCATCTGAACTCCAAAATTTCAAATATAATTCGATTTTAAGTAATTGTTGATGTTTGATTTTATTGTGCCCCTCCCTGATAAATTTTCTGCGGGCGCCCGTGTACACACCTAATATAATATGCTTAGTTCTGAAATATATCGAATATCCCTTATAGGTGAACGTCTGTGCCGAATTACACCAATATAAGTAGCAATTATTGTAATCGGTGGTGTTTCTATCGATTTTGTTAGGAGTAGGTATGCCTACACTCGCGTAACACATTACGGCCCACGTGGAGTACTATATATCAATTACGCGCGAACAAAAACCGAATTAAAACACTCGAAATCAAAAACAAATATACGTACATTGTTGTAAACCGTGTGAGAAAATTTTTCTCAACCGACCCGTTATCGAATTTTTAAAACTAAACGATTGGTTAGGCAGGTACCTATGCAACGGTATTGGAATACACAGGAACGGATGGTCCAGGAGGAGCCTGGGGTCATGGTCTCCCCTCGGGACATTATTATTTTTCCGATTTCCGTGCAAGAACTTTATGAGAGAATAATATGCATAATCTATTGTGTTACGTTTTAATTGTATCGTGGTGTAAACAATTGTCGGGCCCCCCCCCCTCCCCAGATCTTTGCTCCGGATCCGTGCCCGCGCCATACGAGACACAACAACGGTAACGGTACGTTTAATCGAATCGAAAAGCGTAATTTAATAATTTTAACAATTTTCGCATCTGTTACGGGTTCAAAGTGACGTAAGGCGGTGTGAATGGACAACGGTTACAAATTAATAATGTAACGAACTTTTCGGAAAATCGGAAACACGGCACCGTATTGTTATAAAACGATATACCGTATGCATATGTAATGTATAAAAGCTTCAAAGGTACCTGTGTATTTTTCTCCGGTACATTTGAACACGTTTAGCGGCCCCTTCTGAACCAAAGAGGCGCTCAAACTCGGGAATCGGATTGTTCTTTTTTTCTTTTTTTTTTTTTCTTATTGGCGGATTGAAGCGATAACATTTTAATTGAATATCAGTAGTACAACGGGCTTCGCCGTGTTGTTGCGGTTGGAGTGTGTGTGTTTTTTTTTTATAGCTTTTTACCCCGCCCCTAAAGAGTACCGGACGAAACCAGGACGACGGCATTTTATGTATACAAAACTGTGAGAGTGCATCGAGAGTAAAGGTAAGACGCGTATCGTACACCTCCCTATGCAGACACCGCTGATTAAATTAATACGACATAACCTATTTGCCATACGTTGTATTCATAATCAATGGCCATACGCATAAAACACTTAGGGCATAATTGGCCAACGCGCATGCGGATATTAATAAAACATGTGCTTACCTACAGCTAGTTAATGCATACCCACTGCGCACCAAAGTATTACCCAGGTATATTTTTTTCCGTCATTATTATTCAAACGTTTACGTATAGTTTTATATGCGTATTGCGTGTACCTATTTAGATAAAGATTAAAAGACAATACGAGACTCGATTGCTTTCGAAAAAAAAACACATAATGTCAAAAAAATAAATTATCGTAGATATTGTGGCCGCAGAAAAATTTTGGATGAAGGTGCACGTACACCCGATGCCAACATACACTTATAATATTAATTCCTAATAAAAAAAATGTCCTAGTTTAAGTGTAGATACCATGTTCACAAAAAACTTAAATTGATAATTACTATTATTACTGTAAGGGGTATGGAGCATACTACGGTTTTTGTGTAAAACGGCACTAGTCATCAATTATTGTTGGTTTTTAGTAAATGAAAAAAACCTTTTTAAAACGATTATTTTCCAGTCATTTAAATTGTTTTTTTATTATTATTATTATTTATAATTTTATACATTTTTAAACCTATTTTTATTAATAAAATTATATTATTATGCAGTAACAAATGACTTGTGACCTATTGACTATCGACCTAACCTATTAGCTATTGCATATAAAGTGTTGACTACTGTCACTTCTCATATACTGACCGATATTGTGAATATTATAAAATATTATCGTTTGCCTGTTTTCATTAAGTTGTAATTTTTAGATTTCCACATAAAACAGAATTAACAACGCTTACTTGTATCATTTAATATTACTAATTATCATCTGAATGAATAAAACTCTCATGAAATCTGTTATTACTATTTAGCCTAAAATTAAGAATATATATATGTATATACTATAAACATCATTATTTGAATAAACTAAAAAATCAATTTATAGTAATATGTATTATTAATAAAAAAACATTAATCCAGTCAAGCTAATAGATTTTATTCTTCATAACGTTATTACTACTAACAGTAACAATGTTAAAAATTAAGTTTTTATTCTATTCTACGGCCTAAGTTATCATACCTCAGTCTGTTATCTAGTCCAAATTGGAGTGTTGGAAAGTTGTTTTGTTATGAAACCTCTGACGAGTCTAAAGCTTAACCACCTACTCTAAAATAATAAAAATACCTAGGTAATCAACAATACAGATACTGACTACTCTACTGCACATAATTATTTGTTATTTACTTTTTTCTTTCAAATTACACATAGCTGTCAAATTTACCTACGAAATAAATATTCATAACATTTTCATAATATTTAGGGTTATTTACTGATGGGTGGATGCCAATGGAATACAAAAAAAGAAAAGAGAAGCTTAATACACCGACGTTGGAATTAATGACTAAAAAAGCATTGAAAGTAATCTCGAAAAATGAAAAAGGATATTTTTTAATGGTATGTATTGATACTAAAATCTACCAAGATTTACTGATATTTAATATTCTAACATAATATGAGTAGTTGTAAATTTGCTGTAAATAACATTAGGTGTCAATTTGTTTTTCATATTGCGATATTAAATTGTTTAAAAAACCTTTGGGTATTTTGTAAATCAAGACATAAATAAAAAAAAGTAAAATTAGTTGTTTAAACAATTTGAAAAAATAATTGTTATTTTGTATTTAGTATTATTTAAATATAATAATGGTCAACTAAAAATCAATCGTTAGTTTGAAATTTTTTATGGGAAACCAATTATAATTTAAATAAAACTAATATTATCAATTATAATTCTTCGTATTTTAAAGTTTTGTTAATGTTTTGATTAAAATGTTTACATAGGTAGAGAACAGTTTAATTGATGTAGCACATCATTCGAGTAAAGCTAGACTAGCAATAGATGAAACCGCAGAATTTGATAAGGCCATCAACACTACCATCGAGTTACTAAAAGAGTGGAAAATGTTAGACGATACACTGGTAATTGTGACCAGTGATCATGCAAACTTATTGTCAATAAATGGATATCCAAATCGGGGAAGCAGCATTTTTGATATTGTAGCTCTATCTCAAGTCGATGACGTCAAATACACAGCTCTAACATACTCTGTTGGGTTTTCCCAAAATCCTATTTACAAAAGGGTAGGTGTTAATGTTATTCGACAAGATCCCTCAGTTAATAAAATATTTAGCCATGAATACTCGCAACAAGTTGGTATACGAGAAAATACTGGAATACACGGAGGTAGTGACGTGGCTGTACATGCTAAAGGTAAACCTTTTTATAAAAGTCCATAGATTGCAACTTCTGATTTAAAATGTTCATTATAGGACCAATGGCACACTTATTTCATTCAACCCACGAACAAAATTACATTGCACACGCGGTAGCATATGCAGCAAAAATTGGTCCCTACCAGGAAGAAATGAATAATGGATCATACATACATATTTCAAATATTTTCCTCATGTGCACTTTAATATTGACTTTATTTTATTTTTAATTAAATGTTATGAATATTGTTAAGTATTATTGTTAACAATTTTGTTGACTACTAGAATTTATTTTTTAATTTATTATTATATTGAGGTATACAATTGTTTTATAATTTAAGATTTTATATAAACTTAAATATAATTTCTATATATATGTATAAAAAAAAAAAAAATGGTTTCTATTTCACTCACAGTAAACAAAAACAATTATAGGTATACAGAAAAGACTGTTTTATTCTAAAACACGAAATTTGACATTACTTATTTATTGCAACTATTCATAGTAACTTTTCAAGCAGCAGTTTAATCTTTAGATTGCATGTATTTGATCAAATCCACAACACGGTTGGAGTAACCATATTCATTATCGTACCTAAAATAAAGAATAATAATTATAAAATATTATTATTTAGACATTAGTAAATTTTTCACAACAGCAAAAAAATGTCTAACCATGAGATGAGTTTAACGAATTGATCGTTCAATGGAATTCCGGCCTTAGCATCAAATATAGATGAATGGTTGTCGCCAATGAAATCGGAAGATACAACTTCATCTTCTGTGTAACCCAAAATTCCCTTCAATGGTCCTTTTGCGGCTTCCTTGACCTTGTCCTTGATGGCTTGATAAGTTGCTGGTTTTGCAAGTCTAAAATATAAATTTGAATAAATTATTATTATAAAATTCAGGTTTGCAACTCATAAAATAAAAATTATAAAATTTCAACCATGTTGTTAAAAAAAATATATATATAAACAAAAAAAAAAAAAAAATTATCATTAAGAACAATTATATTTTAAATAGAAATTAGGTTTTATATAAATGTTCAAAATAATTTAACTAATATCACTAGTTATATATTATAACTCACCTGACAGTCAAGTCAACAACAGAAACATTAGCGACTGGAACTCTGAAAGCCATTCCAGTTAATTTTCCGTTCAGTTCAGGGATGACTTTGCCAACAGCTTTAGCGGCACCAGTAGAGGCAGGAATGATGTTTTGGGCTGCACCTCTACCATCTCTCCATAACTATAGAAAACAAAAAAATTTTAAATGAGGTCAGCTGTTAAACAATATGTAAATCTTTAAAATAACTAACCTTTCCGGATGGTCCATCAACAGTTTTTTGGGTGGCAGTGGTAGCATGCACAGTCGTCATAAGACCCTCAACAATTCCAAAGTTGTCATTAATGACCTTAGCTAATGGGGCTAAGCAATTGGTTGTACATGAAGCATTGGATACAACTTTGTAAGATGGATCATAGGCCTCCAAGTTCACACCAACAACAAACATCGGTGCATCAGCACTTGGAGCAGAAATGATGACTTTCTTGGCGCCTCCTTCCAAATGGGCAGAGGCTTTCTCGATGGTGGTGAACACACCAGTAGATTCCACAACGTAATCAGCACCAGCACATCCCCATGGAATGGCTTTTGGGTCACGTTCAGAGAAAACGTGGATCTTGTTTCCTAATAATTTTAGTATAAAATATTACTAGATAAAACTAAAAAAAAATTAAACTGGACCAAAACATCCTACTCACTTAGCACTTCACTTAAAATAATTTAAAACTTTATCATAGGTTACAAACCACATATACAGTGTATGAAAATTATGGCAAGGGAAGTAATTAGTTAACATTATCTATTCAATTAATTTTTACCATTGACTACGAGGAAATCTCCATCAACAGAAACTTCGCCCTTGAAACGTCCATGAGTAGAATCGTATTTGAACAAGTATACCATGTAATCAATACCAATGAATGGATCGTTGATGGCAACAACTTTGGCACCCTTTTCAACTGAAGCTCTCAGTACCAATCTGCCGATACGGCCAAATCCGTTGATACCAATGTTAGACATGTTGTTTTACTAAAATACAAAATTTAAATAATTCATAAATGCTGTAATAACAATTATTAACTTAAATTATACACTTGAAGACATACAGCTAAAGCTCCAATTAATAAAATAATTAATTAGATTTAGTACTACTTCAATATATGATTTACCAGTGTATTTCTAATTCAGTATGTGATCTAACAGTGCGTTTCTAACTTTTATTTTGTTAAAAAAAAAAAAAAAAAAAAATATCTTAAAAATGTTACTTAATATTTAAAATCAAATTTTTTATTTTATTCATTAAAAAAAAAATATTATTATTTTAATAATCGTATCAAGGTTTTTTTTTTTTTAAATTTTAACTGAAATATTTTATCATATTTAATTAAACAAATGATAATTTTTTTTTTTTTATTTTAAATAAATACTCATGTTTTTTTATTGACATTCAGACATATCCAAGTATATTAGTTATTATTATTTTTTTTTATACATATATATTTACTTAGGTATAAGTAATTTAGACACAATATCTTATCTTAAATAACTATAATTAAAAAAAACTAAGAGATTTAAATTTGTTAAAAAAAAAAAAAAAAAAAATAATTTTCATACTTGAATACTTATTTTGTATAATCTACTTCAATATGAGATCTACCAGTGAGTTTCTAATTCAGTAAGTAGTTTATCCGCATAATTTTTTTAGATATTAAAAAAAATGATTATTACATTAAATCAAGGTTCTTTTTAAAAATTTAAATTGAATATTCTATCATAATTAATTAATTAAACAAATGATGATATTTAAATTGTTTAATAACATCTAATGTTTTATTATTGATATTCACCAGGTGAGTGGTCAGGAATTTCCAAAGAGAGGTGTGATGAAAAAATGCAAAATATTTTTCATTAAGTATCACAATTTATTAGTTAAACACTTAACAGGACGTGATATACAATATAGCAAATTAGCGTTTTGCAAAGACAGCTTTGTGCTATTAGTTTTAATAATACGAGTGAATTACCTAATACCAAACTTTAATATAATAACATTATAACTGAACAACATTGGTCTATTTTTCTAAGTTTTAATTTTGAAGCAAGCGTTTTCTATAAGCATCATGAAATTGTGATATTTCACATACCTACTGATCCTACAGTACCTCATCTTATTAGGAAATTTAAATATAAAAACAGCACCAATGTTACCTAGGTGCATAATATTCTTGTCTTCAAGTTTGGTAATGATAATAATTCTCTCTTATATTGAAACCAATGGCACAATACTGTCCCTGCTGAATGCAAAGTTGATATATCGTACGTTTTGTTTTCAATATAATGATAGGTAATGGTAGTATTAGTAACCGTACAGATGTAGAACATACAAAACTCGTCAATTACATCAATAGTCGCGGATAACAAATAACTATAAACTACTGTCATAGTTTGTGACTCAATTATCAGACATTCACAGTTATAAGTGCATAATTGATTGCATGTAATTTAGATACACTATCTAACTTTTAACAACTTTGAGATTTAAGTTTAGTTAAACCAAAAAAAAAAAAAAAAAAAACATTGAATTTCCATACTTGAATAGTTAATTTGTAATAAGTACCAACAAGACTGAGTTAAAATAATTTAGGAAAAATAGCGATCAACAGAAATAAACGGTATGCAAACATTTGTATATTTTTATGGGCTTAATCAAAATGTTAACCTCAAGGGTAAAACAATGTAGGCAGAAGAAAATGACCTCCCACGGGAAAATCGAAAACCTAATATTCAAGTTAATGCTAAGTTGCCTATGAAGGTACCTAAACAGGTAACGCGATAATAAGAAAAAAATAATTCCAAAATATTAATTGTTATACCTATAGGTAGCTATTGTCCTAAACTGGATTATAGAGTTATTTTGTTTGTATAATAACGGCATACACAGATTAAATATAAAATGATAGGTGTAAGGATTTAAAAAATGTTATGTTCATTATGTCATTGGATTGTGAAAAAAAAACATTAATAACTCGGTTTTAAACAAATAGGTAGGTATATCAATATTTCATTAATAACTCATTGTTTTCGATTCAAATATCGGGATATCGGGTATGGGTTTTATATCGGAATACCGGTAAAAAGTGACATCGACCTAATAATATCGACTTGATAATTAATCATACGGCATATAAATACGCGACATAATTAAAAAATTAATTCAAATTGTAAGTTTTCCAAATCAAATAATTTTTTAAACAATATAGGTAGGTGCGTTACATTAAGTTGTTGGGAACATTTGTAAAATACATTTAAATTGATCAACGGGTATTATTAGTACGCTAATGTTATTATAGGTACTGGATGTAATAGAGTTCCCAGTAATAAATTTAGGTACCTGTGCTTTAAATAGAATTTAAGTTATCGATCGAAAATATACGAGTACCTATCTAATAGTGTTTGTAGGGCAAATTGAAAAAAAAAAAAAAAAATTAAAATCACAAATTGTGAAATACGAGCTATAATGCCAACAACCAACGGTATTCACCAACGTTTTCGTGTTATTAAAAATAATATGAATGACGAAAGTTCAAACGGAGGATAAAAGGGCGTCCGGCAGCCAAAGATTTCAGTGCGAAGGTTAGACCAAGGTCATAGATGCACGAGCCGGTGTCGCTAGAGTATTGATCCGAACGGTTTTTCGGCGACAAAGTCCACACCGGCCGGAAAAGTCACGGGGAAAAAAGAACGTCAAACGATAGAAATCCAGGCCTCGCGCCCCGAGCGTCGGACATGTTTGGAGACCGAACGATGTGTACGCGTTTGGACGGCCGCGCTTTGGTAAACGTTGCCAAACGATAAACGAGACCCGGTACAATGGCGGCGGATCGGTGCCGTGTACGACCCATACCGGAGCGTTGGCGACGCGGACGACGGAAAAACGCTTTAATTGTTCGCAATATTGTACACGATGCGTTTGTGGACGGAAAACGCCGGGCGAAACGCGACGTTATTAGACAGATAAAAAACGGAAATAAAAAAAATTACCACTTACCTTTTCGGATATTCGTGGCAGAAAGTGCGGACTCGGCAGGATGCGAACGGTAAATGATTGCGGCGGCAAGGCGAACAGTGACGGCAGGTTCTCGGTCGGACGCTGCGACTTCCGCACGGCCGGTCGGCGGTCGGCGCGCCGCGTCTCGTTTGCGCACTCCGGCGCGCATGACGTAACATCAGCGGCCGGCCGAGAGCGGTTTTCGTGACGTCACGCGCCCCGGGCAACGTGCGCGGCAGCGCGTGCGACAGCACACCGCGACCCACGTCGGGTGTTACCTACGTCCTCTATCGGCCGGCGGGCCGTCGGACCCGGCGCGCCGACGGCCGGGGGGACACGGGGAGACTAACAGCTGTTCCGGCCGCGGCGACGGCGGCCATTTTGTTGTTTTGAATTTCGCGGCGGCGAGCGAAAACGAATACGTTTCGCCAGCCGCGCATGCAGCCGCGGCGGTCAAGTACACCGGCCCCGCCGCCGACCTCTGCGGCCGACGCGTTATTATTTTCGGATCGAATGAAATCCGTCTCAAGGCGAGGCGATATTGACGAAAATACATTACATACCTATTGAACCCGTTCGCGGTACCCGAAAATAGTGCGGTGTGAGGTTAAGGTCTGCCGATTCTGAGCCAAACGGGCCAGATGACTGCGATACACAATTGTATACTAATATTATATATTGCGTCGATCGACGCTATGCCAAACTCAAAATTTCGTCACGCTAAATCATTGTTTATTGTTGTTACACACGAACCTGTACTGGTGACGGAAAAAAACGCCCGGACGTAAAAAATAAATTTAAGCCGGGTCGCGCGGCACAATGATCGGCCTGTGACTTTACCAACGACTGTCCAGTAAGGTGGTTCATATTTATGGGAGAAAGAAAATTTCATATTTATAAGAAGCACATAAAAAATAATGTCTACGAAGTTTGGCCACGATATGTCAATTCCAAGACGCGGCGCAAGGGGGTTTGAAAATTGTCCGAAGGGTAGTGTTTTGTAATTTTTTAGCTTATCACATGTCTATGTTAAAACTACCGCACTTAGGGTAAAAAATGATAGTTCCTTAACTGTGGAGCATAAGAATACCTAAAAAAAAAAATGAAAAATACAAATAATTCATTTTTTTGGCAAAATTCAATTTTTATAATTATTTGCTAATTATTGATTATATTTTTACATTTAAAATTTCCATTATATTTTAATTATTATTTTACATTATTTTATTTTATCGTTCGATTAAAGTATTTTTTCTTAAATCACGATGACTTTTCCGATAGTCTGCCACGATTTGTAATAGATATTGTTTTTGTTCCTGGTTTTTGGTTGTAATAGAATTTGAACCTTCAATTAGTTCAACTACACTTTCGGCACTATCATTTACCACTTTTAAAGTCTGTAATTTTCTTCTAGCATCTTGATAATCCTCATTAGCATTCCAAAACTTGAAGATGTCTATTTAAAAAACTAGTTTTAATATCAAATCGTCTAAAAAAATGTATTGAATTTGGATAAATAAATCCATCGATTGTTTTCTTAACAAATATCTTATAATCGATCGGTACATTGATTTTTTTTTTTCAATTTTATTTTCATTATTTTCGTTATTTAATGCTTGAACCGTACTTCTTTTCGTTTCTAACGATACTTTATACAAAACCTGCCTGATATGTCGTCTGGTACCTATTAAAACTATAATAACTGATGTCTACTATACACCCTCATGTCCCATTCTTATAACTGCAGGCCCTTCGCCTATCTAACTATAATCACTTTCGTCTTTCTGTATTCAAACAAGTTATCATACAATGCAGGTGGATAATACGCCTATGCAATAATTTATTTGGGTAATATTTAATTTGCCAGTGCGCAAACTTATCATTTATTACCTATGAATAGACACGAAATAGGAACAGAGACCATTAAAAAACAAATAGGTAAGTACCTGTCTATAATACATACACGAGTACCTATGTATACCTAGCTCATTTTACTTGGTATTAGAAACTTATTAGAACTGTTAAATCGTTTAAATCACGGGTCGCGAGCATATAGAAATATAAATAATAATAATTATAATAGCCTAACGATGGGAAGTATTTACAAGTACAAGTACCATGGTACACGCGCATACCGACACTACGGTGTAGCTGCTACACTGTAGCATACTATACAATTCTAAATAATTGTCATTAATCATTGTGATGACGTAAAAACGCACGTATACTTATATATTGTATGGGGCTGCTCGTGCCTACGTGCGAACACTCACGTCGATAGGTTTAACGGAATAAGAACCTATTTTTTTTTTAAATTTTTTTTCCATAGTTGCAGTGGTGCCGTATTAGGTAAGTAGGTACGTATATTATATTAATATCACAACACTCATTGTAGACTCAATAATGGTTAATACCTATATTTAGAACGTAAATAGCAATACAAACATTTATAATGAAAAAAAATGTACTTCTGAGACTGCTTCAAGTATACAATACATTACCTACCTACTTACCTACTTACTTATTCATATGACGGGGTTAAGGAGTGTATGAGTGGTGTAATTCGAGTTTTCGTTAAAATTGACATAATTGATTTACGCATTTATTAAAGGTCAATTGTTCGATAGACAAAGTGAATTAAATCATAATACAAGTCATCGCTACAACTAGATGGCAGCGAAATATTTGTATGGAAACGAACCGGTTGATTTGTTAACTTTAAATTTTAAAACTAATGTGACTTACATCACTATGGATTTAACACCCCCCCCCCACACCACACCACACATATATTGCGGGTACTTTTGAATTTATTTTAAACGTTATTTAATAGTGAATAACAATACAATAGCTACCTACTTACATTTAATCATAATAAAATAAGTATCCTACTTACTCCAACTTTGTATAGGTACCTATTTAAAACTATGATGCCTACACAGTGCCTAGACACGCCTAATTTATAATTTTACGGTGGACACAAATGATGCAATATTGATAACACAGTGCTCGAATTGAGGGGGGGGGGGGGAGCTTTTTACTGTTTTAAAATTTTAATTTCCTAACTATAGTTTGTATTGCGATAGAGTGAAAGTACTTAAATCTTTTTTTTTTTATTACCAATAATGATGTTTTTAAAAACATTCATCGACTCGCGTAATATTTTAGAACTTATCGTTCAGTAATAAACTATAACTAATAAAGTAAATCAGTAATCAGTAATATTTATTCTTTATTGCTCTGTGTGATAGTAATTAATAAAGAACCTACTCACAGTAATTTACCCACAATCTAAATATTATCATTATAGATTAAAAATAAAAATTATATAATTACCATTATCTATATTTACTTATCTTACATGTAAATTAACAAACGATTTAAAAAAACAATATATATTAATATATGTGCACGAAAAATGTTGAATACAATATATAAATGAAATATGTAAGATATACTTGATAATACTTGGCCAGAAGTGTTATTGATTTTTGTTTGTTTTGTAAATTATGAATTATTGAATTTTTTTATTCTTTTAAAAAGTGCTAGTGATGTACGGAGTGTGGGGACGAAACATCCCACATTCTCACTAGTTACGTTAATTGCATTCATTACAAGGAACACTGTTTATATACGTAGTCGTATAATCTCTCTTCATTTATTTTTCGAGCACTGTATTTATGTACGTTATCTGAAAAATAAAATGAAATTTGTTTTTTTCTAAGTACATTTTGCCCGCATTTTAATTAGGTATACCTATGCATTTTACTACTATGACATTGATATTTAACATATCCACCTCTCGTCCGTATAAAACGATATAATTAAAACGGATTGAAAACAACCGTTGCCCCATGCCCATATCGGAAATATTATATCTATAGGTAGGTACTCTAAAGCAATAAAATAATATACAGAGTGTCCTACGGAAATCTGACCTGTGCATTATTTTTTGGTTCCATGCAATGTGTTTAAGTTTTTATTTTACTCTAATAATTGCCAGAGCCTTGCGCTGTAATTCATATGATGTTATTTTATATGTTCTTAAAACTAAACAACGAATAGTTAAACAATTTTTTTTCACGGGATCCGTACATTTTTACATTTATTTTGAAACAAAATGTCGTTGTTAAAAATGTTCGCTAATGTCGAATCGTGTTAAGTTTCCATAAATTTTTGAAGTTTGCAAAAAATGATTTTCCACGGACAAAATGGTGAATCGATCGATATTATTTAGTTGTATAGCACTGAAAGCAATTTAAATTATCGTGAACTCCGAACTATATTGTAGACAATTATTATTATTAATTAGATATTAAACTCGTCGTTGGCAAGAATTTGTAACATCGACATTTTTGTTTAAAAAACGGCGTCGAAAATCAAAAAAATAACCTTTTCGGAGTACAATGTAGACCCCCGTAACGGCCGGCCATCGCCGCGGAATCCGAGCCCCGCCGCGCGTCGCATTGTCGCGGGGACCCGGGATCCGACACGAATCCGACGCGTACAGCTGTGCGAACCGGGTGAAATCGGAGGTGGAAAAGAACGCGACAGTCCCGTACGGCCTACGGCGAGAGGGGGGTGGGGGGGGGGTGGAAGGGACACTCGAACGCTGTCGAATCGCGGCTGCCGTTGACCCGGGGGTAACTCCCGAGCACGGTCGGATCCGAACGAACACACGCGTGCGCGCGCCCGCGCGGCGCGGAGTTGATTTCGACGGTTGTCGCGTACACCGCGTTTACCAGCGATTTCCGTAATTTATTTTGTTCCGAAAAATCCCATCCGGCGGGTCACACTCATTGAACGTCCAGCCGAACGCCGGCGTTTTCGCGCGCGGGCGTCCGAAACATTTATCGCGCGCGTTTTCTACCGCGCAATCAAATCGTTTTTGGACGTCCGGGGGCTCGGCCCGTGATTTCCCCGTACACGTTTATACGGCGTTGATGTGTATCCATATTTGTTCATCGTGTTTTCTGACGGACTCGCTCCGTTTCCGTATAGTTTCGTGAATATCTACGGGGTCCTGTTAGAAACCCGGATTTGTACCCCTACGCGGCTGTAAGCCGATAAAATCGAATTCGTATTTCTATATCGGACACGAAATGAGTTAGGTACATCCACCGCCCCCCCCATTCCCACCACCCACACTCGGGTACAAACCCGATTTGATTGGTGTTTTTATTTTATTGAACGCGATGACGTAAATACGACACAATAAGCGTGCTTTTATTTTAAATAAAAAACGAACACGGATTGTTGTAATACGACCGACAATGTTACATAATATTACTTGAACATTTTTTGTTTTCGTTGCAATCGGGTCTATCGTCTTATTGTGGCTCAAAGAATCGGCAACACCGTGTTCGGCGCTGATCAAATATGTTTCAGTGTTTTCAAGACAATAACAATGTGTTTAGCTGTGTATAATTACCGCAGGGCCGGATCCAGCGGTAGGGAGAAGGCGGGGATTTATCCCCGGGCGTATCATTTTCCGGGCCGTAATTTTTCAAGGTTTCATAAACTCTAATTGAAAATGGAATTTAAAATATGCCGTAAGTAAAAATTAATATTTTAAACGAAATTTATTTTTGATTTTGAGCGAAAAAACTTATGATTTTACAAAGAAAAAACGTTTTTTTTTTTTTTGATGCGATTTACAATGACAGCGCTTTTCTAAAAGAAAATCCGACTGGGGAGGTACTTTAGAGAAGTCATTTTTTGATTATCCCAGGAGTTTTGTCAACAAATCGGAAAAACGGAAAAATCGGTACGTTATGTCTATTATTGTCTAATATGGCATATGTATATATATGTATATATGTATATGTGTATATATATCGTAGACAAAACATCACTATCAGCTGAACTCTGTTTAGAATCGTTTTTTTTTTCGTTAGCAACGGTCTATCGTTAGATAGAGAAACACGATTCTGAGCGGAGTTGAAAACAATATATATACATGCGTGTGTAATTTTATAGTAAAATAATTGAATAGGCTTCATACATTTTCTTTAATAATATTTGTTTAACGCTGTACCGATTTTCCCCTTTTTTCCTACGTTTTTCCCGGTTTTATCCCAGTTTTTCAAATTCGGTGAGGAAATTCCTGAGAAAATCAAAAAATTATCTCCCTTCAGAAAAGGCGCTACCATTTAAAAACCTGAGAAATCTGAGCCGGTCTTTTGGTATAAAAGTTGTTTACAGATGAAAAAAAAAATAAAAAAAAAAACAATAAAAAAATGCCAACGGCACGTAGTGTTCCCAAGCGGTCACCCATCCAAGTACTAACTACGCCCGACGTTGCTTAACTTCAGTGATCGGACGAGAACTGGTGTATTCAACGTGGTATGGTCGTTGGCGTTTAGGTGATTCGCTACCAAGTTATTTAAACATCCACTCACCTATGACAATAATACTCGTACATTTTTTAAAAATTATTTCATTGAAACTATAGCTCGCAATAAAAACAGGAGTTTTTTTAAACGTTTTAGTATTTAACAGGTTCTTTATTGTATGTATATTAGTTTTTCAAAACGTCACAGGTATAACACTGGACATGGCTCAGAATCGTATTTCGTTAGTTTACCGTCGCTTACCGTGCCCATAGTTAAGTCCGTAAAAATGAAAAATGTGTTACAAATACATGTATCATGGTTAGGTTACCGCCAGAATTAGAAAAATGGGATTATTATTTCGATCCGTATAAAAATCGATTTATTTTATTTTGGCTTAACAGGACGGTCGTTAAACGTTATTTCAATGATGTTTTAAACACTGGTCAAGTGATAATGTTTATTTAATATATTATGTACCTCCCTAGTGAAATTTCCTTTTAAAAACATTGCTCTCATTAAAAGTTGAATTAAAATCACCGGTCGATGTGAAAGTAGTGCACAAGAAAAAAAAACCGTAATATTTTAGTAATATATCTCATACATTTTCCGGTTTTTCAAATTTGACGAGAAAACTCTTGAAAAAATCGAAAAACGACCTCCTCAAAGTATCTCCCTAAACCGGTTTCCTTTCAGAAAAAGTGCTTAGAAATCTGACTACGTTTTCTGGTAAAAAAACGTAATAGTTTTAAGACCAATAGTGTTGTTGCTGCAGCCGATTTTTCTATTGAAACAAAAAAAATTACAATCTGTAATTCCGTCGGCCCATTCTAATTCGTTAGTGAGCAGCTCATCGGGAATTTCCCGGTTTGCCCGACCGCCCGATCCGTTCCTGCTGGTGAACATAATTTTGATTTGCGACGTTTTTTTTAAGACCGGCAACATAGCTAGACGCGGACACTGTAAGGAATATAATATGTATCTCTCGAACAACGAATGCTCCGAACGATAACGAAGTATAACCGTTTTTTTTTTTTTTTTTTTAAATGGAAATAACAGGGTCCGGCAAAAAACCCTCCCCGTATTTCAAAATGCAGTTAATTGTAAACAAACAACGGTAAGGAAAAAATTTTATTTTTTATTTTTAAACTACAAACCAGACTTCTCTCTCTTCATTGTTCACAGTTCACACTTCGCGGCGTTCACAATCAATTTTGAGATTGTTTCCATGGACGTTTTCTGTCTTAGCGAGGAGACATCATCTGGGTCCCGAGGTCACCCGATTTATCATTTTGTGATTTTTTCTCTAGAGATATTTAAAGACAAGTGTACAGTCATCGCTCCACATCGCTGCGTGCACTTGAGGAGGCAATCGCCAAGGCGGTGGCTGTCAGTACACTGAGAATGACGCGAAAAGTTATGGGCGACTTCCGGGAAATGCCTGCGTCTATGTGTCAACAATACGTCAAAGACGCCATTTAACGGACGTAATGTTTGAAACTAAGTAAATATTTTGTTTAATGTAAAATGGCATAGTATTTTTAATTCAGAAATTAAATAGTTTTTTCTGTACCTTTATTTGTTTATATTTAACTGCCCTTTGAAATACGGGTGGTTGCTTTGCCGGACCCTGTATCGAGTACGCTCGGCCGCATTTGAATCTACACTGTTTATAAGTATGAATAATAGGGGTTAACAACATTTTCCACCAGTTCTATAGTTTTGACTGATTGAAAGAAATTGATTTTTTCTTTTTTCTTCATTATTTTAGGACACATGATTTTTTTAAAAATTGAACTAGTTTAAAAAGATCAGTTTCGGCGCGTGTCATTTAAATAATAATTTAACGATTTTTTTTTTACAATTTCATTTTATTTGTCATTATAACCGTACACTGTCGTAAATAAACACTGGCCGAAAACGTTGATAAATTAAACTAAAAACAAAACTCTATGGGACGGTATGCGATCAACTCAAACATGAAATTTGAATTCTCTTAGGTTATGTTATGGGACTAGGTTCCGTTTCACCTCTCTTACAAAAGATGTAATTGAAGCAGAAATTTTGACCGGATGTGCTAAGGGAGAAAAACCCTAATGATTTTCCAGTTTAGTTCAGTTTTCAATAAAAGTTTGTTTTGCAATGTCAATAAACAAAGCGCAAGGTCAGACTTTAACTTATTACGGTGTAGATTTGAAAAATAACTATTATTACAATTACCTTACATGGAGAATAGTGTGTAGCATTTTCTAGAGTTGAAAGACCTGACGTTTACACGTTTATGCACCGAAAATAAAACTATGAATGTGGTACACCAAGAGGTTTTGACTCGAATCATTTTAGAATTGAGTTACTCAGTTTAGAATCATTTATAAATATTCATAATTAAGTTAAATTATAGAATCGTTTTTAATGATAATATGTGTAAATATTATTATTATTTTCTATTTGTTATTCACCTACTACTACTATTTAGTAATTGATTGAATTAAGTAAAATACATTTTTTTTTTTCTTTAAAACACAACATAATGAGTGTTAAACTTAAGAGTTTCATTTAGAGAGAGCAAAACTATACACAGGCAAAGCCGGTTAATTCAGTTAGTTAATATATATTTATACACAAATCTAAAATAATGTATTGCATTATTTTGTAATTAATACAATATACTATGTAAATGTATTAACATAATTAACCAAATTTAATTGTATTAACTTAAAACAAAAATTGTATTGATTATTTAATAATAATTTCTAATATTTTGAATTATTAAACTATATATTAGTATACTATAATAGATTATTATTACGACAAAAATGTTTGTTTTTAGTAAGTAGACAGACAAATACTTATGAAACAAATTTGTTCTGTGTGTATATATTATAAAATATGTTCCGTGTGATTAATTTCCCCTGTGTGCTACCTGCCTAATATAGTAATTTTTTAGAAATGATCAGTCTAAAACATGCTGGCGATTTATGAGCTACCTATTTTTGAGAATTATGACATTTTCGAGTTTTTTTTTATTTTTGTAGGTATTATTATATAGATAAAATTGTTTGACCAAAGGGAAATGGTTGACAATTGAACACAAGTTTGTTACATGTTGTTTTTAGAGGCTAAAAATAGTTTGCGTTTATTTTGTATAAATATTCAACTTCAGTATGTAAAATAATTTGTATTATAAAAATGATACAATATATAATGTGAATGCATAAAGAACAGGACTAACTGGATAAGGACTGTTCATAGAGTAATAACAACAACCATTTAAAAATAATTCATAGTTATTGTGATCTTTCTATGTTATAACATAGATGAATGTATAATTTATATATCTGGACAATTCTTCCATATAAAAATTAACTATACATACTAAAACATATTAATCAATAATCAAACTATACAAAAAAAAAAAAAAATTATAATAATCAACGTTAACTTTTACCTAATTAGAAAAAAATATAACTTGTAAAATCATAACTAAAATAAATTAATAAATGACAAAATATATTAACGACAAATATATATTTAGTCATGTATGTTCACAAAATTGAAAGGCACTTTGTTTTATTTTATATATTTAATTTGTTATTATAGATCTTATATATCTATCAGAGTATAACAATTTTTTTTTTTTTTTAAATTCATATTATATATAAATTAATTGGTATCATAAACAAAAATTAAATGTATATCAAATACAATCTAACAAATATTGTTTCTACATATTTCTATATAATGGTAGTGATAGTATGCAGAGTTATTAATAAGTCTAAAATGAATTTATAAGATATATTTATAAAGTAAAACATGGGTAATTTTAAGAAACGATAGGGGTTTAGAATTAATTCATGCGGACAAAAAATAGTTATTATTTTTAACATTTTAGAAATTTATATCCCAGCCTGAATTGTCGTCTGGTGGTGGGCTATCTGCATCCGGTGGATAATTGTCGAAATTGCTTGTGTCTATAGCACTACGCACCTTTGGCAAGATAGGAGGTGTCAGACTTCGATTACGTAGACCTTCCCAGTTAAAACCATCAAACCACCTAAAAAAAACAAAATTATTTGAATTACATTTTAATTTCTAAATTATTTTATTTAATATTATGTATCTTACTTGTGCTTTTGCACTTCAGTAAGTCGTTCAGCTGGATTATCTCTAAAACATTAAGAATAAAATCAGCTTTTTTTTTTGTTAATACAAATTATTTCACATAATTTATTTTGATTAGTTAAATAATTTAAAAATATTTGAATTATTAATAGGTAAGTACTTAAAACATCTGTTTTGCATAGTTTTTTGTTTTTTTCTTAAATTATAAATATAGAAGACATACCTGCATAATTTTTTAATTAAAACTCTAGCATTTCTTGTAATATTTCTCGGGAATTCTATTGCATCTATTCCTTTTAGAATAATATTATAAGTTTTCATCGGATCTGCTCCAGTGAACGGCGGTGTACCTAAAATTAAAACAATAATATTAAAAAAAGTTACATCATAATAATATATGTTGTATGTTCTTTTGTATTTTCTAATAACATCAGTGGTGACAGAATAAAATTTTAAAGGAACATAATTCCCGGTATTTTTTGTGAAATTGATACGGATATTATCAAATATAAAGTAATATTTATAGTAAAAAATAATAACAAATCGATCACATCATTCAAAACATCTTTTTAACTCGGAAGGTTATCATTATAGATTACATTAGGGATTTCTTATTGAAAAAGGACCACCAATAATGCTACTAATATCATCATAGATGAATGTAGAAACATACAGATTGTTAACTATTATGCATTCTCATTCTATTGCAACTACTATAAAAATATGCTAAGAAAACAATTTATTATTTAATGCATTCAATGTTCAACGCTAATTTCATAAAAACTTGTAAATATTTATTAAACATTTATAATATATAGCAAAGATATTAGCTAAAACAATTTAAATATTTAATAGCATGCAAAATAAAATGTTAACATCAATTCAATTTGATTTGTGGTGCTATCAATAATTCGAAGTAACAAATATTCAGGTGTAAGTATAAAATGTTGAGTTGAATAAATAAAGTTGCATACCAGTAAGTAGTTCAAACATAAGTACTCCCAAAGACCAGTAATCAGCACTTATATCATGTCCCCTATTGAGAATCACTTCAGGTGCAACATATTCTGGTGTTCCACAGAAGGTCCAGGTTTTTCTTCCATTCTAATAATAAATTTGTGTTAATTTTCTTATCATTTATATAAATAATATATTATTAATTTTCACAAATACTAACGTGTAGTTTTTTAGCAAAACCAAAATCAACTAATTTCACATAACCACTAATGTCCAAGAGCAAGTTTTCAGGTTTTAGATCTCGATAGATTATATTGCGAGAATGTAAATAATCAAAGGCCTCAACAACACAACCAGTGTAGAAACGTGTGGTAGAATCATCAAAATGTCCTTTGTCTCTGTAATTAAAAAAAACAGTATTAGTTATATGCTAAAATATACTATAATGATAAATATATATTAAGAAAGAATATTGAAGGTTATAAACTAGACATTCTATAAATAAAAAAGGACAAGCATACTGTGCACGTGGGTGCAGCCACTGTGGTAGGTGGAAGTTTGGAAGGTAGGCTACAGATGGGAATTCAACGTGTATTTGTAAGCAACGATAAACTATTGCTAACAAAAAAAAAAAGATTCTGAGCCGAGTTCAGTTGATAATGTCGCTTTGTCAGTGATACAATATATGGTAATATGTCATATTATGGTAAAATGATTAAAATAATTAAAACTTAATAATAACAAAAAAATAATTAAAAACGGTTGCCAATGACAACCTTACTTTTAATCTTTCAATATTTTTTAACTTAAAAATCAAAGTTTATTTATTATCTTGAATATTAATGAGAATTTAAAAAAATGACCTCTTTAAAGTATCACCCATAGAAAATTTTCTTTCAGAAAAGGTGCTATATTTGATAATCAGAGTATGCTTTCTAGTAAAAAAGTGTTCACATAAAAAAAAAAAAATAAAAAATAAATATCATTGTAAAACCAATAAGTTCCTCGTTCCATTCAGAATCTAAAATAAGAATTACATTTACTTCAAATGATACTACATAGATTTTTAAATTTAACTATTAGTCATAAAATGACAAAGATTCTATGTTACTTCAGATATCCATTTGAACCTTCTATACACCCTCACTTAGTACATATTATTTACATAAAACTCATCAAAAACTATTGTCAATAATTGGACACATAAAATATTTTGTTATCTTTTAAATACTTTCTGCACTATATTTAATTTAAACTTATAATAATAAAAATAAGTATTTGTGCGTGATCTATAGCTGAACCACGCGCAAAGGTCTGTACATTTTCATTAAAAAACGGGAAAGAGGTCCGTCTGCACATTAAAGCTAGATTACGAATTGAATCCCCAACGAGTTGCTCATATAGAATTTTTAATATTTTGAAACAAACATTTAATTACAGTTTTTGAATGAATTTTTTTGAAAATGCTACTTTTAAAAATGTTTTTTTAAAAAAAAAGGAAGAGAATCACAATACAGAAAACATTTATTTAGTATTATTTACCTTAATATAGTCCACAATTCTCCTCCAAGACAAGACTCCATCAGCATATATAAATATTTTTGGTCTTTAAATGTCTTGAACAGCTTAACTATGAATTCACAATTAGCTTCGCCCATAATTTCTTTTTCTGACATAATATGTTGCTGTTGCCTTGTTTCAACAATCTGTAAAAGGAGATATTAGTTATAAAATGTATAGAGAAATACACTAACTTTTCAATTTTTAAAAAAAATAATATTGCAGTGCTCACTTGACTCTTTTTCATCTGTTTTAAAGCAAATGATCTGGTTGTATCCTGGTTGACTTGAACAAGTTCCACACGACCGAAACCGCCCACACCCAATGTGGCTAAAACTTGGAGGTCCGAAAGTTTCAAGTTCTGGAATTCCTTGTTTGTAGAGCTGGTAAGTAATAATAAACAATTATTGGATTATACAAAAACTACATGTTTGCAGCAGTTTTACTATCTACAATTTATTCATTAAAAAATTACAAAAACGATTGATCATAATATAATGAAGAAATAATTCATGCAACATGCATAAAATTTTAGTTTTGTATAATTTCACACTAGGTATTTTCATACCAAAAGTAAAAAATGTACCAACTACACGTAATCGTACTTGAGCTTACCAAGAGCCTAGGACAAATGCATGTAAGTGAAAATGGTGAATATTAGGTAAATGTAATTAAATATGATTGATAAAATATATTTTGACAACATACATCCTAACCTTAAATATTTTAAATGACTCATAATATTATTATAATAAATAATATCATAATTTTTTTTATGATAATATGATGACAGAGTTATATCAATTACCTCATTCGTTCCAAAACATCGTCATCCTTGTATCTGGTACGAATTTCATCCAGTCCAGATATCAGTTGATTGAATGTTTCTCGGTCAATAACTAAACAGGATACACCATCAGGATCGCAAGCAATTATGTTTGCTGTCCGTAAATCATCGCTGTAATTCAATGTACATTCAAGTACATACATTGTTATTAATTAATTAATTATGAAAATTGATCTAATATATATACATATGTATAATAGGTACACACCCTTGTAACGCTTTCTCGCCAAAGAAATCACCCTTCTGTAGAGTTCGGATGTATTTTTCTTCAGTGCTGTTTGATTGTTTTATGGTCACTTTTACCTAGAAAAAAATTCATGACCAAAATGTAATTTTACGATACTTTTTATATCAGAGTACATATTATAATATATGTAATACATTGTTAAAAATAAAACATAATATTATTCACCTTTCCTTTGTTAATAATGAAGAATGTATCACCTCGAGCCCCTTGTCTTATTATGTAGTCTCCAGCATTATAGAAAGTCTGAAAAATTCGTTTTTGTGTAATAATATTAAAACAATCAAAATTATTTAACTTAGAGTAATATGTATAGTGTGTTTACTTCTTCAAGAACGTCCGAAATTTTTATTAGAGTTTCTTCCGGAAGGTCTTTGAAAATCGGAACACTGAAAGCATAAAATACAATGTTTTAAAAAAAAACACATTTCAGCATGGGTACTAGTGGAATTTAGTTATAGCGCAATTATAATAACAGTAATAATTCACCTCTTGAGGAAATCTGTGTATTCCGTTTGTCTTATAAGACCAGTCCTCATCATAATAGTTTGGAAACATTGTCGTTCGATAGCCCATAACTTACAGTCCGTAGCGGCTGAAAAAAATAAATAATAATAATAATAATATTAACGCAATACTAAACAATTGATATAGTTTTTTTTTTTTTTTTTTTTTACACAAAGTGAGGAAGAGAAATGTCGTTCTATTATCAATTAGTAACCAATAAAAAAATGCGTAAATATAAAACGTCACTGCGACCAGCGGTCTGAACTGATGAAAAACACAAGTCCACATGGTTGGGACCGCTAAGACTATACTAGTAGATTTGTGTCCGTCATCATAATAAATTTAAATGGTGTGGTTAATGATCAAAACAAACGACACAGAAAAAATAAAAACAATTAATCAGATGATTCAGATGTTTAATAATTCATAATAATAATAATCAAAGTATCGCTGATGATACCAATATTATAATATATATTATATATCAGTGTTTCCCAATTTTTTTTTTTTATTCTACGCCTCCCTTGTATATTGGTTTTCAAAAATCGCATACCTTCACCCATTAATTGAAAATATGAAATTGTTGTTTTTAATTCTACTCTTACATTTTATCGTCGCTATATATTACCTTTCACCCAGTATCTGAATATTCCTTCCGGGGGAGGAATTTCTCCCCTTTGGGAAACACTGATATATATATATTACGACAATCCGATGTGGAAAAAAAATATATATATATACGTGGTATTATAATTGTTATTGGTATTAATTTTGCAAGCAGTCTTAACACAACAATGGCGGATATTTCGAACAGTTAAAATATTTTAACATTCGATTCATATTAGGTATAAAGAAATCTAGAATATAATCGTGGCCAAGTATATACTAGATAACTACATAATTTTCTATGGCAATAATGCATAGAACTATTATGCTCATTAAACATAATATTATGTTTTATAGAGGTAGGTAATTATATTCTAATCCATGAAAAACACCTTCTTATGTTTAATTAAACATTTTTTTTTTTTTTTTTAGAATCCGTCAATTACTGCAATAATAAAAATTTAATTCAATAAGTACCTATTTATTATACTGCAATACATACTTATTCTCTAAGTAGGTGTATAATTGAAATTGTTACAAAAAGATAAAATAAAAGTGAGAATATTTAATAATTAATACGAGTAATACAATATTATTTTATTAAAACGCAAAATTTTAATCGTGTTCAACAATTCGAATTAAATATATCGTTGAAATTAATAGTCCTAAAAAATACTCTACGAATTGTTAGTTTCCCAGGTTGGCGATATATATATATAAAAAATAAAAAAGTGTACGATTATAAATAAATTTTGCATATAAGGCACTAAAAATCGATGGAAAAAAAATGATGCAATATCAACTGTTTTTGTATTATTGGTACTTTTTTTTTTTACATATATTTATATTTTATGATTTTAAATACGAATCATCAAAACATATTTTAATTACAGTATTATATTACTAGGGTATCGTGATTTTTATTTTCCTTTTAAATTTTAACAAAAAAATATTAATACTTCCGATTTGCAGAGTGTACAACATTTATGTTTAATATATTTTTAACTAGATTATATTTTCTAGTTTGCATTCGGAAGGAACTTCGACCCCAAACCAACAATATACAGATCGGTTTATTAATTAAAAAACGGTCCGATACAGTACGAATTAATTTAGGCGGGGAATTAAATATGATGTTGGTACAAAGTGAGGCATATCATCGAAGCAATTAATATCGAATGTATTATTATTTTTTTTTTATTAACAATATGCAGTTTGTTTTTAAGATGAATTTAAAAACCAATACAATGATTTGTCTAGTACTGATGGAAATTACGACTAGCCGGCATCATTCATGAGTCAGTAAAAACGTTAAGACTACTTTAAGCTTTCTGTTTCAACTATACACTTGTTTCCTATAATTATTTTTTTTTCTCAGGAGTCGCATTTACACGGATATTTGTATAAGCTCTAATAAAACTAAAACAATAAAAAACAACATCATAATATTTACCTTTAATCGTAGCGGTACGTTTACAATTGTATAAAATAGCCAATTCTCCGAAAACTTTTCCAGAGGTCATAGTACTTAAATATTTGTTTTCTCTGCTCACCTCCACTCGTCCCTCTGAAAATACAAAAAATAAAAACATATTAATATTTAGGGTTAATACATTTTTATTTTCATATAAATAAAAATTAGAAAATAAATTATTTGACGTACACACTCTGAACGTGGAAATGCAATTTTAATATTATAATATCGTATACAATAACGGTAATGATTAATTTATAATCATGGTGTAACACGAAGGTTTGATTATTTTGCTTTGAAATATTTCACATTTTCGTGATATATACGTGACTATACTCTGTATTTTATCTTCCTCTTAACCGTAGGTAAATTATTTCAATTGAAAAAGCAGAATAGGGACAAAAAAAAAAGACTGACATATTTCACACGTAGGTAAGTCACTGTTGTAGGTAAGAAGTTGGGAAAGCATAGTAGAGCGAAAATGTATTTAATGTATATCTGTACACGACGATTAACCATTGCTAATGAAAAAACGATTCTGAACGGAGTTCGATTGATAGTGTTGCTTTGTCAACAATATATACTTAGTATTATGGTAATATAATTACATATGCATTATATATTTTCTTTAATAACATATTGTACCTGTTTTCCTACGTATTTTTCAGTGTTTTTTCTAGGTTTTTTCCATTTATTGGGAAAACTCCTGGAAAAATGACCACCACAGTCAGATTTTCTTTCGGAAAATGTGCTATGTTTGTCAATCGGAGCGAAATTGCTGGTAGAAAAGTTGTTCAGAGAGAAAAAACTATTAAAATAAACATTATTGTAAAACCAATACCAAAAACTCGCTCTACTCTATCTAGAATCTAAAACATGTATATATAGATAGGGATACAGATACCCTAATAACAGTGATCGGATATCGATACCTACTCAATGGGCAGAACCCGTTGGGACCAATTTTTCTGAAACACAACCCGTTCGGATCAGAATTTTCCTTATTTTAGTTTAACTGAACGTTAGTATTTTATCTGTGTTGTCTTATCGTATATAAGAAATCGATACACGGATATCTATGATATAAAGTTATAGGTATATATTTAATATAACTGGATTTTTGATATGTTTTAAAACTAAATTAATACACAGACAATGTATGTAAACCTAAATAATTTACTTGTTACTTAATTTAAAAATTAGTTTCCGTAGTTTAACTGAACGTTTATTTAACGAGCCTTTATAGAAATTTAAAATTATGGGTCCAAACGGGTTGCAGTTTTATTAGTGGCCCAAACGTGTTTCGCCGTACTCAATAGTAGGTGTCCATAATAATAATGCTGAAAAAAAAGGGAAAAAAAACGACACGTGCTATTTTATTTAGCATATTTTGTAACAGCGTTTGACCTAATTCTGTTTTTTTTTTTTTCGTATGACGACGACGTGACGAAGACGATATCAAATCACTATAAAGTACATGTAACTACTATAATACATAAAATATAATGCACTCGTATGCGTAATAGGTGCAATTTTGTAAAATAGATCGACTGATGCGGTCAACTACACACGCCGACACACGACGCGGGTCGGCAATGGCCTCATTGTCGTCGTATACGCGCGAGGAACTCAATAATATTATAGTTTTTGATTTGACCGGCTGAAATAATACTTAATTGTTGCCAAGGTTTTACGCGGAATTTGCGAAACGGCCGGGACCATCCTCCGAGCAGCTCCGCGGGTTTTTACAGTGAAAAGTAAAAAAAAAAAAAACACAACAAAAGGCTATCACCGGCAAACTAACGGATCGTCGCATAACTGCAGTATAAAATCGTACCCGGTGGCGGCGCGAAGTATTTTTTTACCCCAAATCACCTATTTAATTTGTTAAATTTCAATAAAATTCGTCAAACTTATCTAAATGTCCGCAGTCTGACATTCTTTTAATGACTTTTGATTTGTAAAAACATAATATTTTTTGTTATATTTTCGAACACTCGGGCACCCACGGACCCGCCCGCTCGTTTTTTTTTTTTTTTTTGTGAATTGCGCGATTCAAATATACCTCCTTCGAGTCGCCCCCGATCGTACCTATATACTATACATAAAACAGTATAGAAAAACCGACGAAAACTATTTGATCAAGTAAGTTTTCGTATTGAGCGAAACGATAGGAATGCATTGGTTCCACTATGTCCGTTGTTATTATTTTTTCCCACCAGAAACCTACTCCAGGAAAACAAAAAAAAAAAAACCGCTGCGGAATCTTTTTCCGCACAGCGTTGTCGACAAGGGTGCCGTTTTCTTCGCCCGGTAAACGGGAGGAAGGGAAAGGGGAACCGTCAGTTTTGCGTATGACTCGCGTCTAGAAATTGTAATCGTTACGTTATAATCACCATCATAAAAAGTTATGATTTGACGTTATATTTATGGCGTTTTCTATTATGTACACACGTTGTCCGGCCGTAAGGCGGTTACACTTAACCGCCGTGACATCGCAATAATCCGTCCGTGTTTTACAAAACGATTTTCTATCGATAATACGATCGTATTCGCAGTAAAACCGTCGTAATATAATATTGCGCAATACGATCGAGCTATGTGCGATATAATTAGACAGGAGCGGAGGGGGTGGGATGTGGAGCTTTCCTTATAGATCCTCGCGAGGACACGAACACGGTAAACAAACTCGAGAAACATAACGCGACGTTATCAAGTTAGGTAATCAGGTGTGCCACACACTCGGCGCCTATACGGAACACCGTGGGGGCAACGCGGACGCTCTTAAAACCGTTTTACTAAATCCCGTATACGGGGCCTCGTCGTTTGTCACAACACAATATTATTGCCATGTCAACACGGTTTCTAATTCGTATTTTTTTTCTTCATTTAATCGCAGCATAAAAAAACCAAATCGAATACGTTTTACGAGTTTATAGTGTACGGAACTATTATTATCGTATGCCGATTAGCCGTGCGACGACGGCGTTTATCAGAGCGTGTACGCTGGTAAGCTGTAACCGTTGAGTTTTCAGTGACATCATAACATAATTATGTTTGTGCGCGCGTAGATTAATCCGACTGCTGGCTGCTGCACGACACGATCTACGCTTGCGATAATTGACCGATAAACGTATTTAAATGTTCCGCGTATTAGTTTCGAGAAACAGTAAGCGTTTGTTGTTTATTCAAAAAACTTTTTGACCGGCGAAAAATACACGACATTACGAGTACGTCCTAATGAACACGCGACACGCGGTCAATAGGACGGAGTGATGTTACGCCCTCGGTTATTTTACTCGGTTTGTATTCAAATTTTCGCGATTACGAGCGTAAATGGGCAGCACATTTTCAAACGCGATTTAAACACGACAGCGTTCACGGACAAACGTTGTAATATTGATTTTTCGTATTTTTTTTTTTTTAATATATGAAACGTCCGTCGAGAAGTCACCGCGGGTGCATTGATTGGCACGTACACGGATTTCGGCGCACAATTTAGTACTGGCGCGAATCTTTCGAAGCGCACATCGAAACAGATACGCACGTTAATACGCTACGCGATGAAAAGTTGGGCGAAATACAAGTGGACACCGGCGTGTCGTAACAATACGGTACGTCCCGGCGGCGGCGACAGGAATTCAACTTCGGCCAATTCAAAACGGATAGCAGCTGCCGCGCGCCGGATCCCGGCCGTCACCGACCGACGGACGAGTATTTGCAGCGCCCCATCCCAGCCCGGGCTCGTCGTCCGGACCACACGGCGTGTTGGATCTCAAACCGCGCGCACAGCTCGGCCGGGGACATCACGGCGATGTTACGAATACGTCGCCGCGTCGCCGTCGTTTGTCGGGTTCGTCCGGTCGTGAACGATTTGTCGCCGTCGTCTTTTCACTGCCCGCGCAAACGGAATCACGTCAATGCAGAAATTGTTTTCGTCGGCCATCGGCCATTGCTGCGTAACATCCGAAAGCCCACGTAATGTTAAATGTTTCCGATTTGTTTAGCCGCTTTCGTTTGATTCGCCCTTTCGCTATTAACCGAACCGCGGGGTATACGTGTTTCCGCTGAACAACGGAAAACAGGCACGTTGGTGGCGACACTGTCGTTCATTTTCCGTCGTTACGCAAAACCAGAAATCGACGGGTTACCTATTGGCCGGGCGGGGAGAGTCTGTTTGCGTCTGTCCGGAGGTTTCACTGTGCGTGTGTACACGAGAAATTGCCGTCCGCGATACAATAACAATAATATCGTACATAAGAAATACACACGTTCGTGTATAACGTCGTCAAATGGCGAACGGGTATACAATTTACGACCGGCGACGAAACGGATTCGAGTCGTTTGATGTCGTCGCGGAGACAGACGGAGAGGAAGACAAGCCGGGCACGTATTGCGCGGAGGCTATAACATTTTGTAGGGGGAAAAAAAGAAAGAAAAAGGAAGCGACAAAGATTGTATAATTTACGTGGCACGAAACGAGTTTTGAATGTTACCAAACGGTTTACGGTACTCGCGTGTACCGCGCACCGGGTCGGCCGTCATTGACCGTGTTTCGCGAACATTTGTTCGGCAGCGCGGGTCCCCGTGGCGTGGCGTACGGGACGACACGTAATCGCGTACACGGTTATGTTTACTCGTTAACGGATAACACAGAGTCGGTGGCGACTTCGCCGACGGTCCGTCTCCGCCGGAGGATAAATCGGTTTTCCCCCGCTTAGACTGTAGGCTCGGGCCCTGTGCAGTTATTTTTTTTTTTTTTTGAGGGAGGGGCGGAAGACATCAATGAGCTGCTTTTCTTTTGGCTTTTTCACGTTCTAATACCGAGCGTAGACGAATCTTTACGGGTTTTCTCGGTTCATTAATATTTGTAATATCCTGAATAATCGTATGCAATTGCTGTCGTTTAGCTACTGTCGAGTGTCGATTGCGACTGGACAAGGGGCGTCGTCGTCAGGAACAAGGGTGCGTTTCTTGCGGCGTGAACCGCGCGCATACCTCCGCACAGCGGCGTATGTAGGGGACGGGCGGGACCCTCGAGATTTCTTTGCCGGCCGTGAAATTTCGACTAGCTTGGAAATTCGTGAAACCGCGTCGCGCGCGTACATTGTTATTACATTCCACTCTCTGCCTCGGCCGTCGATATTATTATTGTTTCGCACATTGCGCCGTAACGAAAAATGGTTTGGAGAAAAAAACCTATTAGTTTCGATTTCAGGACGGTTTTATTTTCTTCCCGGCGAATTACACGCGACAACAATCCCGCATACTGCAGACTCCCACAAACGGTCCCGCGCCCGCTAACAATTCAAAACGGAGCGAACTCTCTCCTTCGCCCCCTACCCCCCGGGCCGGAAAATATTTATTTTTTTACATATGCAGACAGTAGACACCACGACCGTCTCCGTACAATAATAACACGTATTGTGATATTGTGTGGTACATTGTATTATTATACGAACCATACGGGTTACACATAACCGGTGGGTAATCGCGTACACAGTAATAACGACGACGTGACGTTATAATATCACGAGCATTGTATATCTGTTTACGAATTATTACACGTTACTGTTGCTGTACGGCCAAGACGCACGCTCTCCGCGCGGACACAATCGAGGACCGCGATTGCCACACGACGAAAAAGAATATTAAATTGAATAATAAAAAAAAAAAAAAATAAAAACCTACACGACAATAATAATTGAACCGTTCTAATCAGCAGCGATCCGTTCTCTCCCGTCTCCAGCAATAATATTACACCACCGTCGTCCGCTTTATCCATTCGTTTGCACTGTCGTCTCGTCGCGGGCTTGTGCGGCGTGAACAAACTTTTTCAAACCGCCTCCTTCCCTCCTGGTACATCCCCCCGTCCGCTATATAGCTGCTCCGCGGATTCCGATTCCGGTTCGCGCATCAGTAGCGTACCCGGGAATTTTTTACCCGGACGGTAGTGGTGGAGGGGGGGCGTCTATATTTGTTCTCTAATAATTATACAATTACACGGTAAAATTGGCAACCGACAGATAATACCGTTACAGTAATAATAAAAAGCGTTTACAAAATGGTTTACTACCCGTTACGGAGGGTCCGGACTCGAAATCCTCCTCACCCGACCACTCGGGTTCGCCACCGATGCGCTCCGCAATGTTGTTTTACGCGTCGTGGTGTAATAATAGTATTATTGTTTCGACACCGGCAACAATAATAATTACAATACATAACGGTAAATATCGCGGTGAGAATATTGGACGATAACAATACGTATGTTGTTACTGTAATCGCCGCAGCGAGGGCGAATACGGCTGTACACGGACTACTGCCGCGCGGCTGTCGAAATCCGCGGAGCGCGCGCCGCCTACACTACACCCGTGTAGTGTAGGTGCGAGCTACACCGCGACGTTACACACGCGCCACAACAACAATACACACGCGTATAATTTTGTTATCACACGGGTAGTAAACACGCGGCGATTTATCGTATCATAATATTATATCGTAACAACATTACAATGTCCGTGTTTTGTGCGCGCGCACTCCGCGTGAGATCCGCGCTCATTAGGGCACCGCGGCGGTATGCACACGAATGATAATATTTCACTAGTGCGGTCGGGAATATTCTTTTACTTTTACGGATTTGACGTTACGAAACGACCGCCGCGAACGGACCGTGGTCGGCCGCGTATAACGTAATAATATATTATGAGGTTGTTTTTTGGTTTTTTTTTTTTTTCTTATCAATAAAAATAATAATAAATATAGACGGCGACACGGCGAAAGGTCACGGGCAGGTGCACCGAGGCGGTTTTCGCGTTGGTTCGTAATCGGTCGCGTAACGTGTGTGTGTGTGTGTGTGTGTGTGTGTGCGTGCGTGCGTGCGTTCGTGTGGCATGCGACCGGTCGGTATATTTGAATATTGACACAGCCCATTCTACAGTGTCGCGGGCATAACGGGCCGGATAATTCGCGGGCATACACACAGGGCGATTCTGGACGTGCTTAAACTGCGTTCGGATTTTCGTCCGGCGTCAAACAAGTATTATATTAATGTAAACTGCGCCCGGTTTATTATTAGTTATTACGGTGTTTTATAATATACAATTCGAGGTGATTCTCCGTCCGAACCCGTTATTCAACATTCGCGAAAACATTAACGTACGCGATATCCATAATATTATGTGACTGTGTAAAAATCAACCACAACCGGTAAAACTCAGGTAGGTTAGGCCAGGTTTGCGAAAATATCACCTCGCTTGTAAATAATACGACTTATTGACCGTTTATTAAATAATAATAATAATAATAATAATAATAATAACATAAACTGCTATAGTGTCTATCGACATCAGTCGAGTCACGATGGCCGAACAATTCGCGTCGCAACATTTTATTTCGCAAAAACGTACAGCAATCGATATTTTACTCGGGCGCAGTTTACACGTTACCGAATTTGAGAGTTTTGATTTGTCTTTGAACTCTATTTAGAATTTCAAATAGCGACCTCTCCTCACACCTCCTTGTTGAACACGAAATACTTTATTATCTGAAAACGGATACGATTTTAATTATTTACCCTAATTCTCCTGTGTATATTTTTAACTTTTAGGTACTTTAAGGTTATAACACATTAACGGCGAATCCGGTATTAGTGTTATAATACGTACATTGACATTTTTTGAAAAACCGTTTCTATTCTGAAGCGCAGTACGCTCATACTCGTTTGAGGTACACGGAGTAGGGAGTACAAGTGCACGCAGAACAGAAAACTGCAGTAAACAACGTTCAAACGATTTACAATGATTGAAAAACGAAACGGATTCACTTAAAATCTTCCGAAACAATCGCATAAACGGGCGAAGAAAATCGCCGTTCTCGTTGCGCGCGATAATAATAACATTATAAATCAGCCGGTCGAGGATGACGGTTTTGAAAAAAAAAAATGAAGAAACATTCCGAGGGAATCATAATAATCCCGGAATGTAAAAAAAAAAAATTTCGCATAAATAATGGGAATTTTCATTATAAATAATTATACAACAAAAGTTAATCTTATATAATAACGCACCGGGGTCGTTTAAATCAAAATTATTGCCGTCGGTTCGAACGTAAAAAAAATTACAGCTACAGGTTCGTGTACACGGGTAAAAGTATAGGGTTTAAGAAAACGTGAGAAACAAAAAAAAAAAAGAGCAAAACAAATTGACCTGAAATACGTGCGTACAGCGAATTTCGCTTTATCGCGTCCAGAATCTTTAGTCCACGGAGGAAGAAGGGCCAGAGTCGAATTTTTTTTTATTACGCAATTTATTTCCATTTTTATTTTGTTCGGTCTTATAACGACATAATAAGTGTTTAACGCCATCATGCCACGCCGAACATTAAAAAAAAAACATTGCCAGCATCTAAACGCCGTCGGGCCGTTTCAACGACTATACGCGATTTAACGATATTTTATCATTAGGACGATGTTGTTTATAGCGATTTTCGAAATTAAATCCGCTCGTATACGCCGAAAACACGATATGCATATGCAAAATCGACTGGAACGCCGTTTTCTCGGAGCCACAAGACCCGAAAATCGGCCCCGTAATGTCTGCGAAAAAAACAAACAAGAACCTAAATATCCTCCGAATACGTTATTATTAGGTAACCTACACTTTTCGACGGATTTGACCCACTAGGTCTTAAGTCGTGCCCATTAATGTGAAAACAATAGTCCGCTAATTTCCGCGGAGCCAATCCACTAGCGGAATTCGTCCGGTGGTTAATGCACGGGGTAAAAATCCGTCGACTTTTAAACGCTGTCATCTGGTCTTTCGAGCTCTGGTATATTTTTTTTTCTTTAATTAACGAGATTTTAACAAGAATATTATAATATCAGCTCTGGTCTCACAGCCGGTGAAAAAAGAAAAATTATCACCAATAAATGAAAATGTCTTATCGAAGCCCGCCGGACCCGATATTTTCATTAGCGGAGAAGCGGGAGACCCGGTACGTCGGACTAAGTCTGCCGCCGGATTTTCAACGGCAAGGATCGGATCCTAAAAACGACGCCGCACACACACATACACACACACACACACACACGATGACGCGCTCCGCCCCGGTCAAACGTTTTACGCTGAACTGTTCAAAAGGAACTTTTTATTTGATTTTCGACCAGGTCACGTGCAAAACGCATTACGTTTACGATAGTCTCGTCGAGATTTGAACTTTATAACGGTCGGCGCGAGGACAGCTCTTGCGCACGGCGTATACGCCCCGGCGGCGCATTTTAGACGACCACGTCGGGCGTCCGGGCCGAAATATTTTCGAAACTACACCAACGTCCAGAAAACGCACGGGTACGCTTGCTGTTGTGTTCGTCCGGTTTCGACACATCAACACGGAATGAACGACGATTGGCTTCTGATGGCCGAAAATCCCATGTTCGCACAGAGGGAGCGAAAATTAAAACGAAAAAGGCTTACGCGCATCACGGCAATGCAATCGCTAAGCTCGGAATCTAAAACCGTGTCTGAGAAAAAAATAACAAAAAAAAAAAATCCATACACGATTGGGACAACAGACGCGCGCGACAAAAACAAATATCGGAGCGACGGGACCGGAACGATTCATCGAACGGCGGCGAGCGACCGACGATAAACAAGACGGCGTGATAATAACAGGGGAAAAAAAACCACGGAATCGTGTGATAATAAATACACGAGTATTGCCGTAACGGTCGGACCGGAACGCGCGGAAAAAAAAAATCAAAAATAATGAATCGATCGACGACGACGACTACATTGCGTGTGCGCATGTCATCGTCGCCAGATTCGAACGGATGTCGACGATGACGCCGTTATTGTCGGGAAATAAATTTCTGAGCATTTTTTTTCCCCAGGCACCAGGGGTTTCGGGTTTTATTTTGAACGTTCATGATTGTTTTACGTGTAAATGTGTAATTACATAACAGATTGATAATAATACAAGACTTTGTGTTCGTGTATTCTTTTTAAAATTGTTTTTTTTTTTTTTTTGGCGTTTGCGATACTTTAGGGACATAAGTTCTTCTCGGGTTCTACGCGCGACGCGTAAATCAGACGAGTTTAATTCAACTCAATCGCGTCTTTTGCGACTGTCGTCTCTTCCGGCCGTTCGATCCGAACGGCGTACACGTATTACACGTAAAAAAACACGAAAAGAAATATCCAAGCACAGAGTTAATACGGTGTACATAAAGAACATAATATACAGCGGCGAAAACCTCTCCTCAATCCGGGCTCGACTAATGCAATTACAATATACGAAGCGCAGTTTTCGTGCGGCAAAAACGTGTACGATTCGAGCCCGTTCGTTTGCGCACAGACAGGGACCGTCCACGGCCGTCCGTTCGCCGAAATTCGAGCGGAATCCACTCTGGCCGCTGTTCCCCCGGGACCAAAGACATTGGCCGCTGCAGTCGACACGCGCGGCAACCGGTAACACGACCGTGTACGCGACGGTGGCAGTCGTCGTACGAGGGCTGCGTGAACTCTCCGCCGCAGTTAACGTCCTCTCCGGTTTATTATTATTTCGCGTATAATGTGGAGCGGTAGTCGCCCTGACGAACAATACAAATAATAACGCCACACGCTCGCACGTATATACGTATACGCGTACACACACACACGCGCGCGCACATACAATAAGATAAATCGAACGGGTAAAATCATCATCGCATTATACGTGTGTGTTATTATTTATAATATACGTATCGACAAACAGGAGAGCAGGAGACGCGACGGCGGTGCCTCGGCCGCCGTCGCCACCGCCGCCGCCGCCGCCGCAGAGGTCATCGATCCCGACGGCATTATTTTCGGATTCTATTGTCGTACGCGCGAAACGCGCACCGCGGCGGCGGGCCGCCGCGTGTCCGATTCGGGAGCGTGAAGGAACGGGCGTAACGGTTCTTCACGCCGCGAATCGAAAGATTCGCCGGGCGCGCGGGGGGCACGGCCGGCCGCGTCGCGAGACGATTTTCACCGCGCGGGGGATGGGGACGGGACGGGGGAGAGGGCACCGCGCCGAAATCGGTTTTTGGGTTTTTTTTTTTTTATATGTTGTTGAGACTTCGCGACTAAAATCGGCGGTTGGACTGGGATCACCGATCGTTTGTTGAAACGTCGATTGCGTGGTCGACTAGTTCAGAGATCAGAGACGGGGAAACGCGTTCCTGCGGACGACGATTTCGATGTCGGCGACCCGCACTTTGTCGGGGTTAATCCCCCGTGTATAGAAAACTCTCCGAATGTAAGCGTCTTACCTATATAAAGGGTGATTTTTTTTTTTAATCGTTGTTTAAGCTTATTGTTTTGAAACAATTTTTAATATTTTACCCGGCTCCCCGTATATACTCTAAATAATTATATACTTTGTTTTTTTCAAATTGGACTCCCCCCCTTCTTCCTTTTGAACGCAGATTCGACTAGAGAATATTTTTCTAGAAATGTTGATCCGACATAAAACTTTATAGTAGAGACGAGTCGCATTAAATTTCATATTTATTTTTATACAATTAATCGATAATGCTTTCGAAAATTGCTAGTTCGTGATAATAATAAAAAAAAATTAAAAATTAAAAATTAATTTTTCCAGATATTAAAACCATTTCAGAGATGCCTATTCGATTTACTCGAATACGGAAAACGATGTCGGGCGTGGCTCCACGATCAGTTCGGTAATTTACGTTCTGCGGTTCGATATTTGTTTTTATAAATTCGCGATTTAATGTTACCCAGCAGAAAAAAAAAAATCCTACGTGATCTGGGAGGTCAATGATTTTGGTTGCCATTCCGCTGAATGACTACTAGTATTCAATACACGTGATTCAATGCAGGACAACATAACTATAAAACCGATCGATAAAAACTTTACATAATAACAACATAGCGGAGTGATAATACTCAATGACAATGGCGTAAACGTAAACGCTGCCACCCACCAGAATATAATAAAGGCCGCAATCGTTGTCGAATTCAACAATTTCACAACAATCACCGGTTTCGGACGAAATCCATAAACTTTGATCCCAGGTAAGAAGGTCTTAAGTCAATTTCGTATTCATAATTTCTAAAGAGCAAATTCACATTAAAAAAAACAAACAAACTAATAGAAAATGTTTTTTTTTTCTTTGGTAAATTGTACTTATACGATTTAGACCTTTTTACCCCGGGGCTGAAGAAAAATATAGCTCCGCGTAGTTATTCTGAAATGTTTACGAACATATCGTAATATTATATTAGACGGATACAAAAAAACGTATTAATTAAACCTGCAGTTAAACGACCTCCTGCACTCGGAATAATCGTTGTTTTTTCTCGCAACGATCTATGCATACATAAAAAAAAAATATAAAAAAATGATCTAATGATATAACACCGTAGTAACCATAATAATAATATAATACCGAGTTTCCCACCGCACAACAGTGGCCCGATGCCGGCGCAATGCGCTATTACTATTATATAGGTACGTGCGTTTATGTCGTGTACATACAAAATGTTAATTATCGCGATTCGTTAATTGTTTATTGTGAAAACGTCTCAAAAGCGAGCACCGTCGCGAAAATCCCAAATGATCCCGGTGTATATTGCACAAAGTGTACGAGCGGGCAAAACGTGTACGATACCCATATAGGTAGCTGATATAATAATAATAATAATAATATTTGTAGTTTTTTGTTTTTCGGGGGGGGGGGGGGGGGGGGGNGGGGGGGGGAGGTTAAAAAATAATTATTGCGCTGCAGTAGAAAATGCAACCGTCTACGCGTGTAAACGAGTAATATTATATTATTGTTTTGCGAGCGTTTACTGACCTCGTCGGCAGTCCGCATCGGTGGAAATCGAGCCCCGGCCCGGGCGACCGCAGGAAACCGTCGGTTTTATTATTATTATTATTTTTTTTTTTCTATCGAGAGAGACGCTATACAAATATTATAATATTAAATATTTAAATACGCGTATATCCGTACGTTCGTTACATAAGATATTATTTTACTCGATGCGAATTCATATAGGATTTATGTTGTAAGAATAATATTTGAATATACTACTGTACACGCAGAAACTAACGCACGACGACGACGACGACGACTATCCGACGACGGTTACTGTGTATACACACGACGGAAACTAAGTACGAGCATAATAATATATATGTAAGTATACATACACATATATATTTTATTTTTTTTTTTTCCTATCAAATTCCATTAAAATGATTTATGATATTACGATTTAAACGCGACTACAACGCTCGATATATGAAAATAATAATAATAATGATTGTACAGTTATTATCGAATTTTTTTTTAATGCGCGTACACTAATACAGTGGTACACACACACACACACACTCTATACGTACGTTCGCTGTTTTTTTCTGTACAGTTTTAACAACTATTGCGAAAAATTGTAATAATATATACATATTATGAATATTATTATTATCGATTTATTCAACGGATTCTGTGTACGGGACAGACATAATATTAATCAATTATAGACAGGTATGGTTTTAAAATGCGCGATGCGATAAGAACGTATAATAAAGGTGGATACATTTTCAGAGAGTTTACGATAATATTGTATCGTAATATGCCTCGGAGAGCACGCCCGAGGCGATTTTTCCATTGGGGGTGCGAAAAGTCTACACATGCAGGCTACGCCGGTGGCTGATCGACCGGATCTCAAACATGGACGTCAAAATTGTAAAATTCGATATTTGTCATACTTATAAATTACCTACTGTATTGTAACTGTGTCTACTCGCACCCGATCTCCGTATACGTGTTTGCTATTTTCTTGACACACGACAAGAAATTGTCGTGTTTGACTGTTATGACTATATTTTTAATTATATTCATTAACTACTGTTCGATCTAGTGGTTGTATTGTATACATTGTTTATTCCGTATGCTGTCAATGCGAATTTTACGCTATATGATAGTAATAATAATCATAATATGCGTTTCATTTTTTTCCAATACAGAAACCTTCGAAAATATGCATACCAATTGTGATATATTATTGAAACGAGAACGCGTTTGATACGCAGTATTAAAGGTCAGAAGGAACGAAATCTACAGCAACGTTACGATAGTTTGACGAAATATTTGAAGAGGCGGACCGAAACCAATCATACCGACGATAGACGAGGAGATAATATAAGGATAATAGTTTAAAAGTTTTATTTATACACAGGGATTAAGCGACGAAAAGTAGGCGCGGACATCCGCGGCAAACCGAACGTCTCCGGACGATTGAAGCCGAGAAAAAGATGAATTCTTTAGCCCAGTGGGAGAAGGGGGCTCGTTATTGCGTAAATTTCGTATAGTTTTCAATACGAGCAAACCAAACGTTGAACGTTTCTAAGTGGCTCAATTGCTAAACGGTCTAACCTAAATACGACGCCCTAAGTGGCTTAAGTGACATAATATTGTGACGTGCCTTTTCGTCAAACAAATATGCAGTACATGTCGGCGACCCGAGATATTATAATTTTCGGTGTGGCACGTGTTAGAATATAAACGTACACTGGTAGTGCCGTTTAGACAGGAAAGTAAGACAGATTATGTGTTTACAAACATACGAAACAAACAAAAAATGCCAAAAATCGACTTTGGCCCTTCTTCCCCGGGACCAAAGAACTATTGTGTGTGTACGTACCTTCTCGTTAACACGTTGATTTTTTTTTTCCAGTCGTACACGCGTATAACAATAGAATATACAACGCTGTTAATATCCTATATATTTTTTAAACACTCGAAATGCACGTCGGAAACCGCATTATATAAAGCGACCGCTGTTTTTTATAATAGTCGTGCGAATTTCGAACACTACTAACATTTTTTATGCAGATATACAAAAACGAATACAGTAATAAACCGTAGTATTCCGGCAGAGTATTCGGGGAAAAAAAAAAAGAAACAAACGGCATATATTATTGTTTTTATCCGCTACGACAATGTAATGTACTGATATACTTATATCCGATTACTATATAGGTAATATTATATAGACCCTGTAATGCAACAAACCGACGATTTCGCAAAAACACCGCGCGACGACAAGAAATATAATACAGTGTCGAGTCGCAACGATATTAGGAAAAATATTTACCCCCCCCCGGGCCACATTCGTTATCACCGTTATAATGATATATAATATCGTTATCTGCGAGTATATCAACAACACACAACGTCCACACGTGCGGTATTATGATATTATAATATTTTAGCGTTTAATATCATTGCCGGTCAACCCGCGCAGCAACAATAAAAACTACCACGAGGAATGCGCGTAAAAAAAAAAAAAATAATAATAATAATAATAATAGTAATGAAAATTGCATAATTCTCGCCGCGCAAGTCTCGTATAATATAATAATACACACCTAAACGGTTCCGGACAACAATACTATTGCGTACAGGTATACGTACGTATTGCTAGCAGCTGTGGAAATTCGGTTGAATTCCACGTGTAAATTCCATCGGTATTGATAAAACACAATGTTAAGAGACCTGTTGTATTATAGAACATTGCTGGTTTATCGGAAACAAAACGCCGCGGCAATAATATTATTATACAGTCAGTGTAACAGTAAATCACGGGACAATGTACAAATAATTGCGCGTTATTGTGTATGGAGGACAATTATTATAATTATCGGTTTTTTTTTCTGTCGTTGTTTCGTTTCTTTCGATTATCAGATAACATCGGGTTTTTTTTTTTTTTTTAAATAAAATTCGTAACGGTTAAAATTATAAGATCTGTGGCTGCGGCTTTACATTCCGAACGACAATAATAATAATAATAATAATATCGCCAAACAATAATATTATAACGATGGCCGTACTCGCGTACCTATACAATAATTATCGTATTATGGAAACAATCGATTAACTGTATACGGGGAGTTAGGTAATCGTGTTACACGTAGGTATATAATACAAACGCTTGACGGGTGCTTAATAACAATATTTGTTAACTAGGCGTTATAATAGTAAAATAATGAGTTAACAAACACATTATTTCCTCAAAGTTAATATAATAGTTGCATAACGATTAGAAAAAAAAAAAAAAAATACCGACGTCGAAGGTTAACCGCCGCTCGCGGTAATATAGGTAAATCAGTAACCGACGGTGTAATATTTCTGGAGGAGTTCGCTCGTATAATATTGCGCGAGAATTTTATTTTTTTAATTATTACTATATTATACGCGTACGCCCGTGCGAAACCTCGTTCCGGTACGGGTTGTAGCCGTCGTCTCGGAGGGGCGGGGTGGCGACGGGATGGGGTGTGAGTGTGTGTGTGTGTGTGTGGGGGAACCAGGGGAAGTAATCGAGTAAAAATATTCTCGTTTGAAACGTTATTATTAGATTCGATATTATAATATTTAAGTGTGCACGGGGCCCCGGACACACGCGAACCAAACGGATTATTATTAATATTATGACGTACAGTACACCAATGTACGATGGTGTGTACCTAAAAGAAATATTATACAAGAGCCTGCAGTGTACCTACACACACACACACATTATTATTTATATTGCATTAACTCGCAAATTACGTGGCCGCAGTCCACGGGCATACCTATTATTATGGGAATAATAAAACTGTCAAGAACGGTGTATTATTATGGGAAAAAAAAAAAATTCTCGGTGATTAAAATGTAAAACGTCGAAAAATAATACTCGACTTTATATGTGTATATATATATATATATAAACATAATAATATACCGAATATTATATAAATATATTCTAAACGCGTTCTGTTTTTTCCGCGGACTAAAAGTTGAAACATGCGAACTCGACGAGGACGGCACGATAATAGTGAGTGGGCCGGGAGAGAGGACAGAGAAAAAAAATGGCAACAGTAAAATATTAAATTCCGTATCGCCTGTTATCATACTGTTGCAATGGCGCGGACGGGGCCGCGGGCAGGCCAAGCGACTTTTCTCCGAAAATAAAAACGTTCAACAAATGTTTTATGACCGATTAAAACGGTTTTTTTATTATTATTATTTTTTTATCCGGATCCGATCTATCCGCAAGTCCGTTCCGCGGAGTGAAAAAAAATACAAATTCGTGCTCGAAAATAAAGGACCCGTAATGACCGAGCTAAACCGTTAAATAACCAAATTGTATGATCCCCTTTGTGATCGACAGTCGTCGGGGAGCGCACGATCAAAGCAAACAGTTTTTTCGGCCGAGTTGAGCGTTTACATTGCGTACGTAGTCGGGCTCAACGAATTAAGAAAATCGACATCATTATCGACGGAAAAAAAAAAAAAAAAAACAAATGTTTTGTCTTTTTTCCCGTCTGCAAACACGCCGGATCCTATCCGGAGAAGCGATTTTCTAGTGACGCCACTGCAGTGTTGCGGTTCACGCGCGTGCGCGCACGGTTTTATAATACATCGGTCGGCGTTTTGCCCGATGTTTTCCCAACTTTCACTAAATCCACTAATATTATTATTACTTATCGAGGACACGGCAGCGGCGATTTCACAAGTTACACGAAAACGACAGCGCTTTGTTGTTATTGTTTCGCGCGTATGGCGTGGTGTGTATCACGAGTTTTTGTGCAGAACGTGTGCGGCGGCGTATAAGTACCTTATAATGACGCGCTGTCGGACGGTTTTTTTTGTGTTTTTTGTGTTTTTTTTTTCCGTCGAAAATCGCGGCCGCGACGGCGTAGCCATGAAAAACACGGACGGGCCGTTGTTGCGGCCGGGCCTAAACGACGACGATATTTAGGAACAAGGGAGGGAGAGAGGAGGGGGGGGGGAACAGCGTCATTGCCGTTGTAAGCGGAAACACCGATCATCCCGAGAAACGTATATACAACATTATTATATTGGAACATCCCGCGCGGTCGGAGGATTTTTTTTTTATTATTCAATTAATTACGAGTGCACAACATATACATTGGGTGTAGGGCGTGCAATGGCGTTTTTCTTCTGGGGCGCTATCACACGCCGGAATAGTGAAATATTAGGCGCGTCGTAATATCCGGAGGAGGGCGGACCGCTCGATTTTATTGCCTATATGATATAATATTTGTTGTTAACGGTATTACGATTATTACGCGGTCGAAGAATTGCGTTCGGTGGGTAAAAATTCACTTTACATATTATTACGTCTACGTACGCGGCGTTGTGAACGTTTTTTTTTTTTTCTTTTCCTTAATCGTAAAATCGTCGAAATTCACCGACTGTCCGGAGATAACGATCGAATAATGTACCGTCACTCCCCTATGAAAGGGCCGAATAAATAAAACGAGATAATCTGTCGATTATCACTATACATCGATTCACACTATACAAAACAACAATACAATGCCGTTCCCGTAGATCGTTCGGGTAATGTCACTTTATACGACGATAAAATAACTGAAATTCCCCGCCACTGTTTTAAGCAAATCGAAATAGTTTTAAAATCTTCAAACGACAAACTTTCCGAATATCGGCAACTCGACGATCTCAAATTTTGTTCAAACTATATGTGTAAACAAATAGTTATAGCATTGCATAACGAAAAAATAGTATTTCCATATATTTTATACGCGTTGATAAACTTGAAATCGAAAAATAATTAATATTTTCCTGTTTCCAAGAAACAATTCCAAATTTATGTATGTCTACGTATTATTTTAACGCATTAATAAAACTATGATTTTTAAAAAAAATTCAAACAAATTTAATTTCGATCTATACAACATGTAAATATAGACTTGACTATATCTATAGTATTCATGCCTATGTGGCCTAGTTCAAGGTGATAACTTGAATAGTTTGTTAGAATTTAGTAAGTAATTTTCAGCGAACTATTATTGTTTAAATTAGATGACGAACTCGTGGAAAATTTGGACTTAAGCAATATCAGTTTGGAAAATTTGCTGGAGCTAAATTTTTGATAGCATTATTTTTATCTTGTTGGTGCATTGCGGAGGTAATTTTTTTGATTTCCCTTATTGTAGTTTTAGTATTGTTTTTAAACCATAAATTGCATAGTTGTTTATTTGGGTGTAATTTATTATGACTATTCAACATGCGGACAATTAAGGTGAGTGTTGATGGAGGAGGGGGTGATGCCATCCACTTGTCCGTGTTCACAACTCGATGTGGTTATTCCAAATGTTATATGGAGCAAATTATATACACGCAATTAATAATAATAACTTATATACAAACAGTACTCGCGAATGATACGGTTTTTTGGTTGTCCTTCGGGTTCTATTTATTTTTTCTTTGCGTCGTTGAGCAATACGATTGGGTTATGGTTCGTAATCGCCGACAAAGTAGACGTTAATGAAAATAATAACGACTATTATACAGACGACGACAGGCTTCTTTATCCTCAAAATTTCGACAAGGAAATTATATGTTACGAATTACTTAACATAATACGTAATCTAATATTAGGAATCTAAAAATCCCGTTTTAACATCCCGAAACCGTGTTTTTTTTATTTTTTAATAGCCAATACTGGCATCGGTCTGAAGTTTCTGTAGGAGTACCAGAGTACATTAAAACCGAGTATTTATTTGGTAATTTTACCATAAAATTATGTATTTCGTCCGAGTTATAAGGAAAAAAGTTTTCGATTATAAATTTTTTTTCGCGCGTCGAGATAGGGCAGATAGGTGTAAGAAAGATTGTTATTTACTACATCCCTTCCCGTTGAAAATTCCCGGGCACGGCCACTGGTCGGGGTAAAAAGCACCTCCCGACATCGGGAAATAAAAACACGGTTTCGGAGGGGGGGGGAAGGTTAAAATGTGATTACGAATTCCGAATTACTATAGCTAATTCGTAACGAAAGGTATCCACCCAACGGGATACACAGGAGCTTCGACGACAACATTGAAGTGCGTTTTTTTTTCCTTCCAAACTCTACACGCGCTATGACAGCTCGTTACCGGTTGAACGGAAGTTAGCGGCTGCAACAAGAGTATTGTCCGGAGAACGCGTTATACATTCGCCTCATTCTATCAACCGGTGAAATTAATAAAAACGTCAACGACGACGGTAACAATAATATTTTCGTCTCACACGGGCAATATAACGACGGCGAGACATAATATAAATAACGAACATGTAGATGCACCGCAGTCTCGGAAAAAAACCGCCGGACACTCGAAATGATTGATAACACACTCGTCTGCGGTATTGTATTCGCGCGCATCGGCATCAGATCGTCATATTATTATTATTATTATTATTATTATCACGCTGACGATGACGACGACGAGAATACTAACGTAATTATAAATTTCGATTTTTTTTTTTTTTAAAATTTTTTTTCGTACTCGGGCAAATAACAACGGTTGTAACCAATGTATATATAATACGCTATAACTGTGTATACGTGACGTTTTCATAATATTGTAGTTTCACGAGACATCACGAAACGTGGACCGAAGACGCGACATCCGCCGTTATTATAATACGGTCACGTTTTCGACCGAGTTCCACCCCTCCCCTTCAGAAACCAAACAAACAAACGAATAAAAAAAACCGTACGAACACTCGATCGCCGCAACGACGGTTACTTATTGCCGCACGGTTGTCTATAGGTACCCGATAAGTAATAAAGTATTTGTAAACACAGTCGTGTACACGCCGCATTACAGTTTTCGGTGATACATAAAGGAAATAAGGGAAACAATATCAAAGGATACCGAAACCCTATCAACCCGAGCAAAACACGGCCGGATTCGTGTTGGTTAAAACATCGTTTGTTAATCGCTGCGCCAGTAGTGCCAACATCGTATTGTTATCAACAGAAAAAACAACGATAATATCGTGCAAAGCTACAATAATTATCTTTCTTCGCAATCTATGCGTTCGCGCGTATCAGTTGGCAACGTCCATTCCGGTGTACATATTAATTTGTTTAATCCGGTGGTTCTCAAACTGTGGTACGCGCACCACTGGTGGTACATGGTAGGCGACACAGAGGTACGCGGTAAGCCGAGCGGTAGCAGTTCGGAAAATGTATCAACGCATATTTTTGTAGCCCGCATGGTGTTATAAAGGACACCACGTCCGTTTTCAATGAAACTGAGTTGGCCCCCATGTCGTCGTGGAGCATTTTTCGCTCTATGTAAAGGTATATAGGATAATGCGCCCAGTAGTTATCATATAAGTGACGGAGATAAGGCGTTAGAATATAAAACCATACGGACGTGTCCAAGGGTGTACACTGTACAACACATGTCCACAAAATAATTTTAATTATTTTTTGAAATTAATAAAATTGACGTTTCTATCTTGTAAAGAATACCAATAACGATAATATTACACGTTTCGTAGAGCGATTCATATATTGGTTCACGAAGTAAAACAAATTTACAGATGAAAACAATCGAAAATTTGTTCTCCCGTAAAACAATTATTTTGTGATATTTGGTGTCCTTTACCTCCGGGGTACAGATTTGTACAAACGTTTTTAATGGATCTAATACTATCATATATATATATATATATATATATATTAATTTTTATAATGTCAATTGTATTGTATAGTATTTTACTGTCTCGTGCTTTTATCGTTTTGAAATAAATGCATACATGGACATTATGAATAGTTCAATTTATTTAGCCATAAGCGGTACGTGACAGATCCATTATATACGTATGTATAAGTGATACGCGAAAAAAAAGAGCCGGAGAACTTCTGGACTTTAATCTAAACGGATTTGTACTTCTCAGTTCGGTCCTGACGTGCAGACTGCTAACGGAACAGAGGCGCTCACGGAGGTTGTGCGGGGGCTCTTTCACGGACTCCGGTTAAATTAATTGCAATTTCGCCCGTTCGGCAGGCAGCAGTCGATCTCGTTGAGATTATAATATTATTATTGTTCGCCGCGGCACTACACTGCCCACGTGCCGTAAAATTTCAGTACGTGTACGTATTAACGATTGATACGTAATATTCGTAATATTATAATGAATAGGTATTTAATTTGTACCGACTTTCTCCGACCGTAATCGATTGAATTTCGACGAGGTTACTATTATATTCCGCGCCGACAATAACACGCACTATGTACAAAACGAAGGCCGTGATCCAATTTCGACCGAGATCGATAAGGGGAAAAGATATAGCGAGGATAATGTCGTCCGAAAGACCGAAATCCCGTGCAGGCATTTGTATAAATATTTTAAAGAAACTCGTAAACCTCCGTGACCTATCGATGACGACACGCGATCACACGCGGTGTTTCGTGTAACAAATCGCGAGTGTCAATAGGGAGGAGGGAGGGAAGTCATTTTTCGATTTTCAGAACGGAACGACAGCGTCGGGTGTAAATCTTAATATCGCACAAAAAATCGGTAAACTCGTCTCCCGAAATCCGACCCGTTGGAAGGTTGTCGGATACCGAAATATTCAGATCGCGTTAGATATAAATGCAGGAATACGATGGAATACCTACGGTCGACATTTTTTCTTTTCTACGTTATCACAAATATTACAACAGGCGCCTAGTCCGCGGAGAATAAGAACAGAAATGTCGCTGGGAAAAATCGATAGAATTGAACGCTGGATCCGACGGAAATCTATATAATATTTAAAGTCGGAAACGTTGAGTTTCGTTTGAAGACGTCCTAATGTTTTCAAATTTCTGCTGCGACGGGTGCGGTAGTCGTTTCGGTAACATAATTCTGTTTTGAATTTACGTTTTCTTTTGTTTTTTCACACTCTATTAATACCGGACGACCATGCAACAGGATGTAAATCCAAAACGATAATAACACTCCATTATTATAATATTTGCGTTCGTTTTGTCGGTGTCGACGCGTGTATACCAATAAAAGGTACTTTCGCGTTATTTCGGCGACCGACTTATTTTTCGCGTAATTCGAATACACGGCACGACACGGACGTAAACAAATAATCGTGTCGGTTCGCGGCGCCCGCGTTCCGAATGAAAAACGCTCGGGAAATCGCCGGACGACATCGAGGCGCGCTCGTCAAACGCTGCAGCAATAATACGACGCGACGCGTTTTCCGGTTCGGGCCGCACGCACAATAATATTCGGAGAGACGAAAACAATAACGATCATAGTAACAATAATAATCAACAACAATAACGCTTTTATTTTTTCGAAAACGACTTTTCGACAGTTCCGAATGAATGTACGGCAATATAAACGCGTAATTCGACGTCTGACGGGCCGCGTCCGTCTACTGTTTATTTTATCACTGTAGACACGGAGAAAATAAAACGGACACTCGTCTGCGGGTCCGATCGAATATCCCGCAGAGTCCCCCGTAGACGAAATGTCTGACAAAAGGGTTCGGTTTCGAAAATCGGCGGAATCGTCCGGGTCGTTACGCTGCGAGGCCCTTTAAAATATCTCGCCGGGTTTACATCATCATTTTTATAATATTGTTGCGTATTATTGTTGGCTTTTTCGCACGACGCATCGGACGCTCTGTGCCCCGAACAATGAAACGACGCGCGCCGGTCGCAGAGCCGCAGTTTTTCGTAGGTAAATGAAAAAAAAAAAAAAAAAAAAAAAAAAACAATAACAATAATAATATTCACTCAAGGCTGAGATCATCGCCATGAGATGGAAACCGCGCAATTTCGCACGAGACGGCGCGGCGCACAGACTCGATAATAATATATGTATATATATAAAAAAAAAAATAATAAAAAAATAGGAGGAACCCGAAAGAATCTCGAAAACGCGATAAATCAACGAACGTTTTCGGGGACAATGCGGAGTCAAAAGAGTACAATCATAATATAGTATACGAGAGAAGTAGGAGACTTAGTGTTAATTTTTTTTTTTTTAGCTCCCATCAGACTACAGACTACGATCACTCCGATTGTATATAGGAAAAAGAAAAAAAACAACACAATATTTATATACACGCGCGACGTGATGTATACGCGCGATACACTTCCGTCAATGTCTGTACCTATATATACACGTTACTATTATTACTGGGTCATCGGTAAACGATATCGACGGTTCGAAAAAAAAAAAAAATGGCACGGTACAAAAAAAAAAAAAAAACACGTTACACATAAACTATAATATACCTACACGCATATATTATAATAATATTATTGTGCGACGCCAGTAGCAGATTCGATTTAATGATAACAAATTAACGCTTTACCTGCGGTTGTCATTTTAATATATGGAGATCGATTTATAACACTTTCGCGTGTTTGTTGTTGTTGTTTTTTTTTTTTTTTTAAACAAAACATCGTGTTTTCCACTAGAATCTTGTTCGGAAAACCGTGCATATTATTCGGTATAATTGTATAATTGTATAAACACACGTTTAGAAAAGTGTACTCGTTACATACAGTTGCTCAACAAAAAGTGCAGTATAGGTTATGTTATTATTATTGTAATATATTCGTTTGGTTAAAAAAAAAAAAAAAATATCATAGGTATATGTAATAGTATTTTTACTTTTTTTTTTATTCTAATGAAACAAAAAACGTTCGAATGTGTTTTCGTGTCAATATACATATATATATACGTGTATATTGTACAGTATGGCAATATATTATACGCGGCACACGCCCAACTTAGTTATGCACCTCGGTTATTTACAATAATTGTATTGCAAATAACAATAATAATAATAATAAAAAAACGAACGATATTATATTTCCAGATATTTTGAAGGAGAACAAAAACCGAGTGCGGAAAGATATAGGCGCGTAATTCCAATTCACAAAAAACTAAATAATTTAGACGTTATTATACAGTATAATGTATATAGTTTAAATTTTACCGAATTTTCTTAGATTTATGTATATTGTACAAGACTTTACAAGACTAGGTATATAAATTGATATCCGAATAAATCGGTAATGTATTTTCGTTTTCGCGCAACAATTTTTTTAGCCGATAATTTTTTTAATTCGCTACTCGTGGACTATCGCGATTTCATTTAAACGCACATCGTTGCACAATGTGTGCGTAGGTTTTGATCGCGTATACAGCAACAATAACATTATACGGTTAGGTAAGAATAGTTGATATCACTGGTTAAAAACACAAAACAAATATTGTACACGGAAAGCTGCTGCTAACCCGCGGCTGCATAAACCGCAGGGTTGCCAAAACACGAGAGTCGGGACGTTCTCGAATAAAAAATAACGACGGACACGTTGCCCAACAAATTTCCATTAGGCGTTGTTATGGTAGTCAGTATGGGAGCGTAGGGCAGAAGAAGTTTATAGTGCGCAAACGAATTAATCATCAAAAAACATTACCTGATTGTTGCGAGACAACTAAGAGTAGAAGAAATTCTGTACCGGATCGTGTGAAATAATGACGCATAGTTCGATAAATTATTTCGATAACGGGTTGTCTTTGAATACGGTGATATAACATGACGTATACATATCGTGTATACGATATTTAATTTAAAAAAAAAAAAATAACGATAACAAGAAAAAGTAAAACAGAGTCACGAGCACCAGACTCCACGAGCTCAGGAAGTCCCAGTCGTAGACTAGCTCTGCATATAGAAATAATTTTTAAATATTATTATCACTGCTAATTTAATCAATATGATTCGTATTTTTTACCCTTTCTTTAATAATACACCATTTATTAAAAATTAATTGTATGTACACAGATACATAATCGCTTAAAAAAAAAAAAAATGGAAATTCAACGTTAATCTAAAACGAGCACGTGTGTAGATTTTTTTCTTTCTGAAACTAGAGTCAAACTTAGAATTTTAACGAAAATATACGATAATAAGTGAACAAAAAAAATGTATCGATTGTGTAAACATAATCGTTTTAATCGGATTATTATATTTGTATTGCGTATAGAACGTGTTTTTTTTTTTTTTAAATAATATTAGGTATGCGAAGAAGGAAAAATTATACACAATGCCAGTATTAACGGTTACAGAAATTGTCGAAAACAAAAATAGATAATTTATCATTTTGTTAAATACCTTTCAGTGACATACAAGTATACACGTTTAAGTACATTATGTTTATTATTTTCGATAACGATATAACTGTGGGACGACGGTCAAATATAGGGCGTTTCTATGACCTAACCGAAAAAAATGTCGAGGAACTAGATTTTTATTCCGTAAATCGCGTTTCTCTGTGACTTTGTGAATTTGCACGCGTACACGTCGCATTGTACTGTCGAATATATTACCTATATCCGAATAGCCGATGGCTAACTGCGGTATAATGGGTATCTGAATAACGCAGAGTCGCATGTTTTCGTCGGTGTTTGATCAGAAAGGAAAAAAAGAAAAAAAAGGTGTGTTTAGTACCCCTGTAAAACGCCAATATAAAACGCATTATGGAAATATTTGTGTTTGTGAATACAAACAGAAATTTCCAACAAAAAAAAAACAACATTAAATCGCACTGCGTGTCATTTTTTATGTTTAACGATTGAAAATAACAAACTACAAAAAAACGAGCGCCGTGTTCGAAGCACTGTCAGTTGTTGACGACCATGTTATAATTGCCCGCATAGTTCACAAATAATTATTATTTTTATCGAGTCCCGTTTGAATTAAAGTGTCGAATTATTTTTATTATAATCGATACTGACGTATTTTCGCGAACGAAAATTATTAATTCAAATAGGTTACAATAGTGGCGGTATTAGAGACAAAATCGACCGTACAGAATACGTGTACCTATTATTGTGTCAACCAATAGTAGGCATATAATTTAAACGACGCTTCACGAAAAAATCAAAACTGATTAGAACGCACTATTTAATATATGCGAATGTAAAATGTAATTGATCCGTACAATACGCGTAGCGGATCGAGATGATTTTAATTTGTCGTAATAGCAATAATTTTTATTATTATAATCTTTTATCTTTTGAACTTAAACTTTAATCTTTTATCTAACTATTATCGAATTTTCACCCAAAAAATTTCAAATTATAATGCACTAGCTGTATTGAGGCCGGCCGTTAAATATCCTTTCGCCGCTAATTTTGGGAGACTTAAAGAGCTGCTCCGTCCGGACCAAATGAGCTCAAATTCGAGTATTTTTTTTTCTGGCATTGTATATGCACGGTCAAAGCGAATAAAGACGAGTATAAAATTTTAAATATACAAATATGAGCGATGTAAGTATATAAAGGATTTACCTTTTGATAGTTTCAATTTTCAATCATTTTTTTTTTTTTTATCGAACTGCGCAATGAAAATTCTATGCAACACCAAAAAATACATATAGGTACGTCGTACACGGTTGATGTTGATTTTATATCGTTGACCGACTGCAGATGTTTTTGAATGTTAAATAATTTCGGAATATTATTATTTCAAAACACGTTTTGTATAACCCGGTTTAGAAATTTATTTCGTTTTACAATAAATATGTATATCTACATTGTACCGATGAAAAAAAAAATGGTGCATGCAGAATTATTTCAAGTTAAATATAGATTGCTAACGGAGAGTATAAAATATTGTTACAAAGATAATCTAAAAATTATTAAAAATACATCACTTTCTATTTTTTTTATCCGAAATCGCCGTACATTATTGCCACACATATGGCAAACTATTTTTTAAAAATCTAAAAAAGTTTGAAAACGTCGAACAATTAAACGATAGTAAATTTGTTGTTCCTACTTGTACATATATATATATATAGTATTTGTAAACAAACGACGTAACCGTCGTTGTAGACTTTGGAAAAACGTTTGGATTTTATTATCATCGTTTTGGCGTACCGTGCGATAAGAGAAGGACAGGTTTAAGTCTAATTGGCTTTTATTTATTTATTATTGTTATTATATTATTGCTAGTGTCTTTAGAAGAATGAAAAATGACGAATAGCCACTAGACTGCAACACGTTACTATGCGTTTATTATAATATAATTATGGGTACGTCACACGCCCGGTATAATTGAACGATTTCAGCGAGAAAACGTGCGGTCGTTAACGACAAAGGAAAACGTTGGGTGTAGTATATATTGTTGTACTTGTGTGTTATTTTATCAAACTGAAAGGAGGAAAATATTATGCGCCAAGTATAATAATAACAATAATAATATGAGGTCGGTGGTGGTGGTGACCACGACGTTCAGAAATAGAAAAAAAGAAAAAGACCTTGAGCGTAGACCACTCTGCGACCAGTTGAGGTTCGTTTCTGTTGCAGTTTCAAAACACAGCAACGGTGTCCGATCGCGAAACGGACGCCTTGGTCGAAAACAAAATATGGGTCACACGATAATAATAATCGTATACAATATTATTATTATATCATTTAGATCCGAATCGGCAAACTAAATTTACTTTTGTTTTCGTCGAATTACGTTAAACGATCGCCACTAAATATTTCGGCAGGACGGCCTTGGATTTGAGTTCCATTTTCTGCAGGTGATATTGGTGGTACTGAAATACACGCTCGAAACGTTCGATCCTGTTTCTGGGGGCTTTACAAGTGAAGAAATTCGACTACGGTTCTACGGGGGTTAAACGATTGTAAAGATAATCATAACATAATAGTGTACACATAATAATGTGTTTTAGATTTTTTTTTTTAAATGGACGAAAATCAGTGTTTTTGAACGAAAAATATTGTATTTATCAAAGTCGACCCGGGGGAGTGGGAGGGGAAACAATATTATTCGAATCTAGTGTTAAAAAACAGTAAGTAGTACAAAATAAATACGCACACTTGAAACGAATTTGAATTTATCATCAAACGTGTAAATCAGTATCTACCTATATTATCTTTCGAAAATCGATTTCCAACACCGAAGGTCATTCGGTCGAATTACTTAGTGTTTACCTGGAAACGCGAACACGCTGTATATAGGTTGTAACATAGGTGGTAATCATAATTATAACTCCATTCTGTAGGAGGAAAAAAAAAACGATACGTTCGGAACACTCGTATACGCGTATATACGTCCATGTCTCGCCGCTACGATCGCGACGGTTGAAAATAAATTTGAGGGATGTTTTTTTTTTTTCGTCGACCCATGTTTTTGTTCGCCCGTTATATTCGGATCGGTTTTTTTTTTTTTTTTTTTATATTTGAATAAAATAACGGCTCGACGACGGGCGTGCTATTTACTGCATATAGGTGAGAAGTCGGGGAAGATGCTTGGAGTTAATATCTGTATCATTTTTTTTTTTTTTTTGTCGATCTGAGCAAGATTTCCAGTAGAAAAGTGGTTTACGGACAGCAGGGAAAAAAAAGAACACGACATTGTACAGAACCGATACACATTATTCTCAGCTGCGCTTGAAATCTAAAATACAGTCTTAGCGCGTCCGTTCGCAATTAAATTTTGATTATTATTATTATCATTTTTTTTTTTTTATCCAATCTCGATTGTCTTCATTATAATATTATTACGGTCGTCACGGTTTCGATTAGATTGCACAAACTCGTTAAACGTTACGTTATAAATATATATATATATATAAATTATTATTATATTATGCACTGCACTTTATACAACCGTCGCATTTATACATATATACAGTCGGACGATACGAATGCGCGTTGCGGGGGGTAGAAAAGGAGTTTTAAAAAAAAAAAAAAATGATCGATCCGGATTTTCACTTCGGGTCGTCTTGCTATATTATACTCGTTTACTAGTATAGTTATAAGGTTTCGCATTACGTGCAAATTACACTTCTATAAAAATATATGTGTATACATAAATATACGGTATATACAATAAAAATTAATAGAGTTCCTATTAGGCGTATCAATATTATGTATATTATGCATAGGTACATAGGGGAGGGCATAGGGCAAAAACGTGCAAACCCACAAACTGGTGGGCGAATACGTATATGCAATAAAAAAAAAAAAATAAAAAAAAAATCATAAAATATTCCATCGCGCATGATGTTTTATTGTAGGTATATAACCGGCGTTATAAACCTATAAACGTTATTCGTGAATATTGTGAAGCAAACAAACGGTCATAATATTGCGTGTACATAGAATCGTAATATTATATCGTTTTTGCGCGGAATTATTTAGCGAATCGCGATAATTCGATCGTTTTGATATTATCGAGTACATTACGTATATTATTATTATTATTATTATCTATAGAAGAATAATACGAAGAGTTCACACGACCAGAAGATCCGTACAAAACGAATCGATATGTCGGACGCCGAGAACTTATACAATATTCTTATATGAATACATAATACAATAAAAAATTACAAACGTATGTTAATTTTAGTTGGTTTTTTTGCTGTTGTCTATGATCGTACTTTTTACGCGCATTTACTATAGCTATTTATTGAAAATTAGGTAGTAAATACGGTTCAACGAAAACTACATTGGAAATTTAACCAAGCAAAACATCTTTGGTCCCAATTAGGGGACAATGTTAATAGTTTTCGAGCGAATTCGATTTTCAAAATACGTACGTTTATCCCGTTTATACCGAACTAATGGAGAGAAACAAAATATAAGGTAGGTGCACAAGGGAAAATTATATTTCAAAAAAAGAAGTACAAAATTTGACTTGAGCCCCTATTTCCTGGGACCGAAGACGTCATAGGTAACTATAGGTATTTTAAATTACGAGTGGAACTATATAAACTAAAATATTGTAGATTCGTTAGTTATGCATCCAATAATAATATGTTTACAAGGTTCCAGAAAACGCTTGTAGGAAATCTATTTATCATTGCGCATGGATAATTTTACAATTTACAAGAATCATTTATTATGATTCGAATTCAAGGATGCGATATTTTATACATTCGCTTTTCTAATCGATATTGTGATAGACAAGCTGATAAGAATAAAAAATAATAATAATAGCACTGAAACATTATGTATATACCGACTAAAAAATATAATTTTTTTTTTTTTTTAACGAAGTACAATTAGTACTGAGTTACTTATCAAGCGCAATATAAATAATAGTAAAAAAAAAAAAAAAAAAAATCTCAGTATAATATTATTATTATAATGTTATAAGCGACGGATGCCATTTTGGAAAATTTCTACAGAAAACAGTATTTTTTTTTTTTTTAATCATCACTGCGATTATCGTTGTAACTTCGTATCTCCACACTGTTTAGTCAGAATTTAAAATACACTCTGCAATATTATACAGCATACATATTTATAAACAATTGTCCGACTAAAAAAAAAAAAATCGTCACGATGTCAGCAGCCGTTAATTATAATTATAATATAAAGCAAGGTAAACACCGACGACATATTTTATCTCGCGGTAAATAACAACACTCGCGTCGAACAAAAATTAGTACACGGGACACGATACCATAATAAAAGAAAAAAAACAGCTACCTGTAAGTGTACCTAACTGGGAATTTAACGTGTCCCGTCTCCGTTTTTGATATGGGAAAAAAAACAAACACCGATTACGTTTCAGGATTTTAACAAACGGAAAAGAAACGCACATTGAACGCGGGCGGCGCTAACGCAATCACTTTACAGGGCATTGTAAGAACGGCCATCCTATAGATAATACGATAAAACGGAGAGTAGGAGGCGGTAGCAAGTTAAATACGAACATTTCCGAGTTTTAGTATTACGATTTTCGAAACACAATCCGATATCTCGAACACGCCGTTATTATTCTTTTCGTTTAGGCACCCCTGAAGAAATTCGACAATATCATTATAATATATACTACGCATATAATAGCGATATTTCGGGTAATTAACCGCACAATCAATACAATACGATAAACACCGCAGACGTGAAATTAAATACATTGTTAATCTAACCTACAAACGCGTTTTGTAAAAAATTAAAGAAAACGTTTACAGAAGAGAAACGGGAGAGGGGCATCGCGATGCCCCCTCCCCTCTGTATAGATAACGAGTACGGCGTCAAAGGTCTCGTATTATAATGTTATTACGTACATATACGTACAAAATATACAGGGCGACTCACGAATGTATGTACGACAGTAGTTTCAGATAACGACGTCGAAAGGCCACGGTTATAAACGACTGTGTTAATAATTACTAGTCGAAAAATATTACAACAATAATATACGTACGATTCGTCCGATCGCGTTGACCGACCGCAGCAGTAGTGTTCCCGAATTAAACAGGACGCGCATGCGAGTTAAAAAAGGAGATAAAACGTTCAATACGTCGTTCAGAAACGAAAATCGTTTTTGAACGGACGTAGCATTTCAAAAAAAGAAAAAACGCAACGTATTGCCCTCCGAAATATCGTCTTCTTTCAGTATTTCGGGTGCTTTTACTCTAAAATCAAAATCAAGCGAGTTCTACGCAGTTCGCGTTAAGGTTCTCGACGTGCGATTCTCGCGTACACCGAAAACCGAAACGTTTTCCCACGACGCCGGCGTACGTGTTGTCGGTGATAACATACGCGAGTCACATTTACTTTGCAAAGCGACGTTTTGGCCGTTTAGTCGCTCGTAGTTCGGAGATTCTCAAAAAAAAAAAAAAAAAAAAATGTAATTCGCTCGTACATAGAAATTCACTCGAGTCTTCCCCCCGGGACCTCGGACCGATGATATTATTCTATTATTATTAAACAAAATAATACACTGCAATGTTACCGCAGCGCATTTCACTAAAGTGAAATTGCACATTTTTGGCAACCGTATACGGGAGCCGGGCACCGTGGTTTCGTATGTTATACACACGAGCAAAAAGCGAATGAAAAGTACCTAATAATAATAATACTAAAACAACTTGATCGTAAAAAATCATAATATTAAAAATCCGTTTTGCAGCGTTCAACAAAACAATAATATTATAATATTATTATGACGCGACGGCACGTTTTTAAAAATATAATTTCGTTTAAAATGTAAATATTCCCGTTCATATGTATTACATGCTCGCAATCCTCGAAAGTTATTTAGGTTATGCGCGGCGAGTCGACGCGCGGTGTCTTTATTTTAATATGTATAGTATATACATGTATTTTTTTTTTTTCAACTTTTTTGTACGATAATACTCTGTTTACACCGCGTTACGATAATATTGCATTATGATAATAACAATGGACGGTATAATATCGTGGCGAAACCGAACGCCGAAAGCAAATGGTCTCGGCGCGGCACGAAAACCCAACACGCGCTTTCGGTTTTGTCGAACGGTCGCGGACAGTTTTTCAACCGGTCAACGGCGTGGGACTTTTCGACGTTTTCGCTTTGCTTTTTTTTTTTACATTTTTTTTTTTTTTTCATCATCACTACTGTTCCGCAAAACGGCGCACTGTCGATCCGGGATAATCTCGGCCGAAACGCGAGCGGTATAAAATTATTTAAAAAAAAAAAAAAAATAATAATAATAATAAATCGCACTCGGTCGGAACTCGTACATTAAACTCGTATATTACGCGCATTATCATCATCATCATCATCATCATCACCATCATCATATTATACATATTTCATACGCGCATACCGACAGAAACGGGAATCTGTTACCGGTTTTTATCGCGTTAAAAAATAATACATATTAATATATTGTTTATCATAAGATATAGTAAAAATAACACCCGAAATATATACCGCGTATTATATTATTTTTAATACGGTTTTAGTTGTATTTCGTATAAAAAAAAAAAAATAAAAAAAATCATAATTCGTAACGGCAATTACTCGCGAAATGTGTTCTGTTTTATATTTTTTTTTTCACTTAAAAATTGTTACAATATGTAAATATACACGCATTATCTTACGATATACCGTTACTGCACACGATAAATATTATTGTGCTGTGCGACTAGTACCAACAACAACAACAGCATAGGAGTAACGCGTATTACCATAATGGCGAATATTTTTTATACGTTTTTTTTTTTTTTTCTACATTTTTCGGTCAGGAACTCCGAGCGGATGCCGTTTATTAATAATTTACTCTCCGCCGCTCGCACGCCGCCGGCGTCGGTTTCGAATATTCGCGCTCCGGACCGAAAACCAACGGAACCGTTCGTCCACACCGTTGCCCATGCGAACCGCGCGTTTTATCGCAAATCGGTATGTAATCGCGATATATAACAATAATATTGCACAATTTCCGTTTCGAACGTCAACCCCCCCCCAATACGCAACAAAACGCGCGGATTTCTATGAACGCCGTTTTGCTTACAGCCGAAAACCGTGTAACACGCACATCTGCAACGACTGCGTAATACGTTTTACGGACCACGGCGTTCGTGTACAGCGACGTATCCAGGATAGGGGCGCGTGCCTCCCCCCGTCAGTGCTGGACACTACGGTTCGGTCCGGTCTCTGAACTATAGTCAACGGTCCCGCTGTTTCGAATGCTGAAAACGCGGAGTGAACAATTCGTGAGTACGGAAATCGCACGTTCGCGGGGAATTACAACGGTCCGCGGCGCGAGAACGCCGAGCAATCGCCAAAGTCCGATTCGTTTTTCTGCCGACAACGGGACGTCGTGATTTCCGATTTAGAAAGTCCGTTCGGTTGACCGCGGCGTCGCGTAATCGGAACCGATATAAAAAAAAAAAAAAAAAAAAAAATAATAATAATAAATCTAAAACGAATCTAAATGAGTTTGTATACAACTCATCCGTGTTGTGGATTTTACGATTGCGGTTTCTTTTACAAAACGGACGAGAACACGTTTGCGACAAACTCAATTATTGTTTTCAATAAAACATATAATACGTATACTCGTACATGTACGTAAAGGTAAGTAAGTATTAAGTGTAATATAATGCACGACGCTATACCGAGAGAGAAATCTATAAAAAAATAAAATAAATAATAATAATAAATCTAAAACGAATCTAAATGAACAATATTATGTGTATCGACGATTCTCGCGGACGATGAGACGTGTAGCGAATAATGTTTTTTTTTTTAATTCGTATTTATTTATTTTTTTTTCCGCACAAAAACCGGGGAGGGAGATGGGGGACGGGGGGGGGNGGGGGGGGGGGGGGGGGGGGGGGGGGGGGGGGGGTTAGACGGAGAAATATAATACAATAACACGCGACAAACGCAATACCGCGTATACGCACGCGGCGCGGTGCATTTCGCGTTCGAAACAATTTCACTCCGGAAAACTGTATACGGTAACAACATATAATATTACACATTCGAACGTCGATAAACGATATCGCAGCCTGTGCAGCACAATGTCACTCGTGCACCCGTACGCATATAATATAAATTGCGTTATGCGTGTAGGTGAAAAGAAGAGAGAGCGAAAACGCGCGCACACAGACGGCGGGCGGGAGGGCGGGAGGTGAGACGGACGACAACGGCACACATGCACAGGATACGTTTTGTCATCACGTAACTGGCGATTTAAATCTACACGAGAACAACGTACGGTACTGTGGCGTGTACAATGTACGACTAATTATCGTCAACGTATGCGTATACGCGCGCCGTAAAGTACGTAACAATCACGAAACTAATCGACCGGTCGCCGAGTTATCGCCGAGATGTTCATTACGGACCGGGCATACATATATATATGTATATGTATATTATAAATATTTAAAAAAAAAAAAAAAACCGAACCGACAGTACGCGAGTTTTTTTTTAAAAATATTTAATATTGGAAAAGCACCAAAAAAAAAAAAAAAAATAAATAAAAATAACCCCGAGGAATTGTACAGGGTTAACAATAATTACCGTACCTATAGGTACGATGTACTCGTATATCCGCGTGTTGCGCGCGCTCACAGTGACGATATGCGATGACGCCATTCGCGGAGATGAGGCATCCGCGTCACAAGGGCGTTAAGGACAATGACAGTGTACCGGCTACGGAGAGACGAGACGAGCGAGGAGACGACCGAAAGTATACATGATATGGATAGATGAGCCAAAAGCCCTTGGATAAAAAAAAAAAAATACATTAAAATCGAAATAATAACGCGAAGAGTTCCAAGGACATCGTATGTATGGTTAAGTATCGTATGGCAATGTAATATCGCGTCGTGCGGTGTTACTGCAACGCGAATACAAACCTATTAAAAAATATTACACAAATGTATTCGTATGCAGTAAGTATAAAAACCGCATATTATTTCTGATAACATTCAACTATACAAGTGCCGCGTTATTGTACGGATTCCGATTTGAAATCGAATTGCGTACGTCCGGAGAACAGATGGAAAAACAATAGAACCGGAATCGAAAATTACGTGCAAAAGACTCCGGTTAACGAGGGCCCCCGCGAACGGGACGATCCGTGAAAATGTACAAGTATAGGATGCCCCGTAATATGGCAGGGACCGAAGGGAGGTCCGTATAATAGCACTACAGCAGGGACTGCGTCAAGCTGTTGAGAACAGAAGACATTTCATTTTATCAGTGACGGCACCCACCGATATCGAAGGGGCGTTAGTTTCGGAGTTTGTGACGGTACCGTCATTGGTTTTTTTACTAAATACAAAAATAATAAGCGACGCCCCGACCGCGGCGATGAGTGATAAGGTCATGTCGTCGGGGTTTAGCGATTTAAAAAGAAACCACGCCACATAATCGCATAATACGAATTTCAGAACACACGGACTATCAACTAGTGGTCATTTTTAGTGGCAGAATTGTTTTTAAAAAAGTTATTCTAATGAGCGTAAAACGTCTTCGCGTTATAAATGGAAGTCCGCGCAGTTGGCAGTTGACACGTATAATACGACGGAGCGTCGGTGATCATCGCGGATAAAAAAAAACACGACACGTAAAAAACCCCGTAGAAACGCCACTTATAAATACTTATTCAATTAGGTATACCGATGTCTTTTAATTAAAATAAACGCGTATTATTATATGATATTGTCGACACCGACGTGCTATCAGAATAAATATAAATAACGTCGGATGACAGCAGCCGCTGGTCGCACGAACAACCGTTTTCGACCACAAAAACAAAAATAAAAAAAAACAATTCATTCGTTTAACGGTATGCCAGTCAATTGACCGGAACGTTTTTCTTCGGGGGTTATATTCGACAAGGAAAATTAAAAATTAAATAAAAAGTGAGAAAAATTACTTGTTTTATTTTTTCTAAAGACAAATAGCGATTGAATTATAACGCCATACTGCCGAGGTATCGATGAATAAATACAGGAAAATCGACAAAAATCGTACAAACAATTTGCCTGCAGTTTTTTACCCGTTTATTTAGAAAACTCTATGCCCGAGGGAAATCGATAAACGACATGCCCAATATGCACCGACCAAAGCGCTTACACAATTATCGATCAGAGCGAGATTTCCAGTAGAAAATTTGTTAAACAAAAAATCCGGGTGCGATGGTTAAAAAAAAAAAACCAATATAACCAATACAAGTTCTCGTTGATCTACGCTCAGAATCTAATGTATATAATATCCAGACGGAAGACCAGAGGCCAAAGTAACACCGAAATCGAACGGCGAGATAAATAATACCAATGATGATAATAGGTAGGTAGGTAGACTTATATGCGGCGTTTGTCCAACTGTTGGGAGATTTCGCAGTGTAGTGGCGCATATATTATTGCAGGTGCGGGTGACGACGACGGATAGAGAGATCAAGGTTAAAACACTTTCTAATGACACCACGAACGGCCTTACTTGTAGTCGGCGCACAAAATTAGTCACGCAGCCATACACACGCGGCGAGTTTTTTCCTATATTCACCTATATTTGTCGATATTCGCAATAAAATCGAAAATATTTTTTCCCGAAGGAAACACGGTTTCGGGTAGGCAGAAATAAAAAAAATCGAACAATCGGAAACCCGCAACACACACACAAATAATACGAGTGAAAACCTCGACGAGCAACAACACAGTCGATACACTACTATAAATATTATAATACAGTTGTTATACTATTGGGCTCATAAACCACATACGCACACGCGTTATACGTGTTGTACACAATATTATGAGTCATTCGAAACTCCGAAAAAATGCACTTTCATCGTGTGCACGCCGCCGCACAGTTGACAAATCCGAAACGTCCGTGATAATCCTGCCCACAATGCGGTGACCCATCGACGTACGGAAAACGGTTTTATTTTATTTTTTTATTTTTATTCATATCTCCGTTTTATAACACAAAATAATATCGTCTAAAAATCCGGGCTCCAAAACTATACGTGATCTAAATACCGCATAAGAAGCCTAAATAAACACCGTCCTAAACGACGCGCACGTATGTACCCTATATAAACCGCGATATTTCATGGGGGAAAAAAAAAAAAGAAAAAAAAAAGAAAGAAAGAAAATAATCGATTTCGACGGTGACAATTTAAATGATCCGACGAACCTCGCCCGCATGCGGCGTTGTTAAACGATCGGTCGTTTATCGAGGCAGATTTAGCTCGGAACGTACTCGCCGAGGGTTAAACACTCGTTTAGCTATTGAACAACCGCTGGTACGCGAGTGTTTGTTCGTTGTTGAGTCGTAACATAACCTCAATCATTGGTGTCCGGTATAATCTGCGGGACGGTCTCGGGTAGCGTCGGCACTGAAAAACGTTGCTGGCCTCGGCGAGCGGACGACCGACGCAGCCTCGTCTTCTGTGGACGGCGGGGTTCAGAGCGGTGGCGCGTTTATCGGAACGTTAAGTTTTCGGTCCCGGAACCGTTGCAAACGCAACAGCCGGCACGACTCGTGTCCGCGAAAATCCCTTAGTAAATCTGTAAAACGCGCAACGCAATCGTATTGGCGCGCAGCGATTTAGGCGACGCGAAACGGGAACGGAAATTGCCCGCAGCGAGGAGAGTGAAAATACAAATAATCGCGCGCTGAACGTTTTTCAGCGGCACGGAGCGATACGATTCGACCCGACCGCGATGTTTAGTTTTTATTCGGTGCACGGTTCGTTTTTTTCTTCCCGAACAAATATTGTTGTTTTGTTAACACAGCCGCGGTGGAAAAAACGCCTAAAAAATCCGATTTCCCTCGGCTGTAGCCGAATTGAAAGCGATAACACTTAATATGCACGACTATGTAGATGCTTACTCCGCATGGCGAATCTTAGGGTTTCGATCATTTCCAAAGTCACCGTATCGTGTAGCGATTATAACGACGGGCGATTAAACTTCGCCTCTTCCTCCTACCGTCGTCGAGTTTCACTTTTTAATCGACGCGAAAAAACCGAATCATATTTCACCGTTCGGCTTGACCCGAATGTCTGAACGTTAAAAATATACGCGGTCCATCCGACACGCTCGATAATAATAATATTTTCGAAACGGTTTTACTTATATTTGTGTAATAATGTAGTCCAAATACCGACTACGGAAATACCGAAACCGTCATTTTGTTGTCTACCCGAAAAAACCCACGTAGAACCCGCCCTTTTCCGCTAGGTCAACACAAAACGGTCGTTCGATCGCGTGGACAAACCCTGTGCAGTGGTCAGAAAACGACGACCGGTACATAACAATAATTTCGTCGTTAACCGGTGCCGAACGCAAGGGGAAAAAAAAATAATAAGATATTGTCGTGATATCACTTATCGACTATCGGAATATATACGAAACTCCTATAAACTAATTATTTTTTTTTTTTTTTTGGAGAATAATATTACGGTTCGTATCGCAGACCGGCCATTAGTAAACGGTTATCCTACAGTGATATAATAAATATCCCGATTTCTCGATAAATCCATACATCCGTGACAATAACGAAACGCTAAAACGGTCAATTTTCGTTTCAGTTCGATTATACAACATAATATTGACGACGTTATTGAAGAACGCGGTGCGCCTAATATTACGACGACGCGGTTATGGACGGTTTTAACAGTCGTAATAATGCCGTGTCGAGAAAATACGAATCGATTTTGCGTTGAAACAAAAAAAAAATCCAGACATCGTGCCGTAGCGGCGTAGGTGGTTCCGTGGGTCACCGTTGTAAGTGGGAAGCTGAAAAGGTGTTGGTTATTATAATATATCATAACCGTATGGTGCATAATAAACTGAAAGTAACGATAAATCATTGTGATACAAAAAAAAAAATAATAATAATAATAATAAAAAAACGATTCTGAGGAGCGGAGTCGTGTTTTTTTGTAACCAGAATTTAACGAAAAAAACCGATATAAAAACGACGGCTTCGTTCAATTTGCTGTCTCGATTTTTATTCATATAAACTGTCGGGAATCTAGAATAATATTGTAAAACGCCACAGGGTGAAAAGTTCTGATTTTTATTTTCAAGGTACGATGCGAAAGTATTTGGACCATTAATTTTAGTTAAAAAAAATCACAATCTCCATAAAACATTAATAGGTTTTCGCTATTATATTGCAAGGAACCTAAATTTCAAATGGCGTCGATTATTATTATTACTGCTGATCACACAATGGCATTGCGTCGTTAAGACAATAAATGGGCTGGTGGCCAGGCTTTATTTTTAACGTTCGAACTTAATCAAAGTGACGATTTCTATTGTTCTACACGAAATATATTACTATATATATATATATATAGGTATAGGACATAGTGATAAGAAGTAAAAAATAAATTACGATAACAGCGTTCAAATAAATAGGATAGAACTGATGTGATATAAGAATAAAAAAAAAAAAATTCAGCGCCTGGTTTTTTTTTTTTTTTTTATTATTCGTTTTGTATTGCCATCGTAAATTTTGTGGCCTACCAGTGTTTAGTAACTATAATACCTACCCGAAACTGGTTTAGATCTTTAAATCCGCTATAATCGCCGTCGTGTTCGGTTGTTAATACCCGCGCACCGCGTGTCAAGGCGGTATTAACGACGGCTTTTTTTTTTTTTTTTACCGGGGTGTTGTGTAGTGCATCGACCTTTTTCGGTCAAACCCGGCGCATTACTGCTATATGCAATGAGTATATACAACTAAAAACGTACCCAATTAGACGGTTATTGCTATCACCGGACCGGGACCGACAATTTATTAACGTCCGTGTACATCGTGTACATCGGCAAAATGTTCGGCCGTGTTAATAGCGCAAACGATTCTTGCGATTACACGCCCGGGCATTTTATGTGATTACATTTTCATTTTCATTGTTTTTTTTTTTTCTATTTTCTATTAGATTAGTTTTAATTAACAATATTACTTGTATTTTCAAAATATTTTCAAAAAAAATTGTAAAATTCCCGTATTCGAAAAAGACCGCTAACGGGCGTGCCGTTGTTTTAGGCGGAGAGTCGGAAGGAGAACGGATTCATACAGTGTAATTTAATTACACCTGTTGTACGCGACGATGGAAGGTCGCTAACGAAAAACGATTTCGAGCAGAGAGTATTCGTATTCGTTTCCTTGTTGCCAATGAGATAACCCAGAAATCGACGAAAAATCGCCACTGTTTTCGCATTTATAACGAAAACCAGAAGAAAAATTTAAAGAAATGACCTCTTCCACATACCGATCGGATCGAAAACGCTACGAGTAAGTTTCTACAAAATTGTTGACTGGAGTGAGATATTTCCAGGTAGAAAAATCGCTTACAAACACAAAACGTGAATAAGCCGTCCTAGGATAAATGGGGACGGGTGCAGCCACTGTTGTAGGTGGGAAGTTGGGAATGTAGGGTTTATCTGTAAGCAACGTTAACCATTGCTAACGAAAAAACGATCCTGAGCGGAGTTCGGTCGATAGTGTTGCTTTGTCAAAAACGTATACGTCATAATATTGTTCTTATTTTCCCGGTTTTCATACGTTTTCCCGCAGCGGTTTTTAACCCATTTATCGGGAAAACTCTTGAGGAAATCGAAAAAACTGACCTCCCTAAAGTACCGACCCAGTCGGATTTCCTTTGGGCAAACGTCTTACGATAGTAAATCCGAGCGAGGCTTCTAAAAGAAAGGCGCAATCGCAAAACGTTCTAACGATTTTATTTATGCACAGCGAAAAGTCTGCGACGTTCTCCGTGCGCGGTGCCCGACGCGTCAAAGTTAAAACGTAACAGTAATTAATGTAACACGATTCGTGCGGAAACCCGCGAACGAATGTAAAAAAAAAAAAGAAATTGAGCCGCGTTTTTTTTCTTTTTTGGAGCGACAATTTTAAAAAAAAAAAAAAGAAGACGATTTCACCGAAAACGCATATTGCTGCGTACAGGAACTCGACTGCGGTATTGTTTGTAAAATATTAGTACGCCCGTTACACACGATGTCGTCGCTGTCGTTACTGCCGCGGTTTTTTTATGGTCAGCGTTCGTCATCGCGCACCGCGCGCGAGAGAAACGAAAATATTCCGACCCAATTGGCATTATTGCATTGCTTGCTATGCGTGTACCCTCCGCCCCTCCCCCGGCTCCCAACATGTACGGATCGATTATGGTTACACTTTTTATATTAATTTTTCTAGAATGCTCGGGTTTTTTTTTTTTTTTTTTTTTTCCCCGGCCGAGCGAAAGTATACAAACGAAATTCACCTCGAAGCGCGTAATTTTCGACGATGCACATCAATTACAGTTCGTCGATAACTGCGAAAATACGTACGTGCGCACACGTTTTAATTTTCGCATATCGCGCGAAACACAATTAGACGGGTTTCGTTTACGGCCACGCGTTAAAATTACGTTTGTGTGCGTAAATATATTCAATGTTTCTAGCGCGAGTAAAAAAATAAATATTATAAATCCTTTCGGATTTTTTTTTTTTTTTTTTTTTTTTTTTTTTTGTTATTTTCATCGTTAAACAAAGCACGTTTTTCTTTCGACGATCGAGAAACGGGGGCGGCGTCACCGCAGATTAAGAGGACGCCAAGGCTGTTTAAAAAAAAGACAAAAAAAAAAAAGAAGAAAAGTAAAACACATATTATACGACGGCTCGTTCGTAATGTTATTATCGTTATTATTATTGTTTTTTTTTTCCGGGAAAGGGGTAAGTGGGAAATTTACGTATAACCCTCGGAAATGTTCTCCTCTTCAAATCGTTTCGTATTTCGTATTTTTCAACCGCGATTTCAACCCGAACGCGTCGCGATTCACGTGATCTCACTATGCCGTCAGAGCGGAGAACGAGACACGGTAGTAGACGGAGTGTGATCTTTCGAGACTGTGTAATGACGGTATCGTTTTTATTATTATTATCTCGCGTAGACGACGCTAATTGAATACGGCGGGTACGGCGTAATCTTATCTACAGGAGCGGACAATTTATTACGCATAAACACGTCGATTGGATGGTGTGGATTGTATTCGATAAGTACACAATATGATATTGTACATCGGAATGTTTATTGTACGTTATCAGTGGTTGTACATTGACGCGTGTAGATAACCGTTATCGAACCGAACGATATTATTGTATCGGGACAACGCGACAACACGACCATCGCGGTCCGCTCCGTATTGTAATGGCTGCTGGCCGTACACCGGCGGAGTGTTGCGTTCTCGTCGCCGACCGCCGCGTGCAGCGTTACACCGGTGTAGTGGCAGACGGAAAACAGTGTGCTACGAGGAAAACTGTTTCTCGGACGTTTTTTCTCGTCGTTTTGGGGGCACGCCTGAATCCTGGCCGCCGGAGTGTTTCATTGGCTTTCGCGAACCGGAAAACCGAGGGGAACGTTACGGCACAATATTATTGAAGTGCGTGCCACCCGACATTAGAGAGAAAAAAAAAATGCGATTTTTCTATCGATTGTTCTTATATACGTATGTATACGGCCGACAAGTATACGCGTTATACGGTACACCGTATCGCAAACGAAATAAAAACCGCGTTGTTGTTGCGTAACAATACGGGTTTTATTATTAATTTTTTTAACACACCCGGTATACCTATATACCGGGGTTGGGGGGGAGGGAGAAAAAACCGACTGAAATAATAGAGGCGCGCACGTATTTACGTTTGTTAGTTTCGCCGTTTTGAAGGTTAATTATGACACGTCGGGTAACGCGCGGTCACCCGTGCCGTCGACGAATCGAATATATTGTCGCGCGGCACCCACGGATGGCTCCTCATCGCCGTGATTATCCGTCGTTATACCGGCCGTCGTTTGCACGTCGATACACGTCGAATAGTAAATTTGTAGAAAAAAAAAAATGTTCGCATCCTCCTTACCTACAACCGTTTTTGGAGTAGCACTGCCGATTCCCGTGCCCCGCCGGAAAAACAGAAACCAAAAGGTTTTGGATACCAGTTTGGTTTTGATTTTTATCGGTATAATGTACCGTACTGTGACAGTTCAATGTCGTTAAGTCGATAGTTTAATAATAATATATGGAACAAAAAAGATAAAAAGAAGAAGCAATTACCAACAAAAAAAAAAAAAAAGCCTCCACCCGCAATGAAATTACACACCGGTAGGACGCGTCTCGTTTCGTTCATCTATACGGATTTTTTTTTTCTTTCAATTTTTCCCCTATGTACTAGTGATAATAATTATCGAACGCGACGACTTGTATCATCGTTACTTGTATTAGATATTAATTTTAGCACGGCCTTTCGAAATGTTGTTTAACGGATATCACGATATTTTTTTTTTTTTTTAAAGAACTAATTTAATCTCGTTTCACTAATGACTCGTCGACCGTAACGAATCATTACTACTGTATGGTTAGGTGACTCTGGGCGCAACGGTTCCCAAACGATGTCTGACGGGACCGGGAATCGTCGGACCGTTTTCGTTTTAGGCGGAAAACGGCCGCGCCCCGAAGTAACGTTCCTCGACTTTATTTTATTACTCTTTTCATTCACGTACCCATCGACCTCCCTCACTGGTGCTTTACGGACACTCCGAATGTGAGCCCGTCACGCGTTCTCGTCGTAAGACGGACAAGACAATCAAACGTCATTTTTTCCCGTCATTACGGTGTTTGTTTTTGTTTTCGCCGCGAACCTCATAATGCTTTCCCTAAGGACCCGCGGCCGTGAACGCTGCTTGCAAATAATGACCCGAACCAACCGGCCAGCGTCCACTACATTTCAATCAGGTATACATTAGGTTTGTTCAAACAATCGCAGAACTGATCTGTCGTCGCTCGACGCGTGTCGTGCGCGCGCGATTGCGAGAGAAGGCACGCGCGGGTTATCACACGGCGGCCGCGCGTCCTCTCGACCGTTCGCAATACACGACATCGGAAACCGCGCGCGGACAAGTCGATAACGGAGAGACGCGGCGTCGCGCGCGCGCGAGAATTTCGAATCGACCGAATACTTTCGGTTCGTCTGTAAGTACGTACCTACGCGCGTGTTGTGACCGTACGTCCACAACAACAGGGTACGCCGCGGAAAAAATCGATCGCGGCAACGGTTATGTACCTTTTTTTCTTTTTTTTTTCTTCTTTCCCCGAGATACAGATAGCAATAATTTCCCGCGATACGCGGGAAATGTCGCGAGCCCGTCCGCGTACACGGCAAACGCGGGAATTGCTCAATTTCGTTTCGGCGTGTGTTAAACACCGCGTAGGAAAAAAAACCACACACGCAATATACACTCGTTAAACTGGGTAATAATCGCCCCCGTTCCGTCTGTTGTACCTGTGACACGAATCCGGGACGAAAATTAGAAGAAAAATAGAAACGTGTCGAAACACGCGTCGCGCCGGCACCGCGTCGAAACGTATAATTGCGCGCGCGGAAAAAGCGGTTTTCCGCACGCGCGCCGCGCCGGAACAACACCACGTTGTGAAATATCCGCCGGCGCGAAAACCGCCATGCCGTACAATGTAAGCGCCAAGGAGGTGAGTGTAAGTATTTCTCAAACGGGTGGGGGTTCGCTTTTTACCAAAATATTCCAAACGGCCGGTTTGCCGGGGGAAATCCGAAGAAAAGAGTCGGCGTTTGTTACAGGAGAGTGACCTGCGCCGGGAGCGGCATGACGTTACTATGGCACACGTAAACCGCGAGTTATACGGGCACGATTACGAGTCAGTCTCTTGTTGGGAATAGAATTTGAAAAAAACTGCGCCACATAAATATTATACAGAAGTGAGTTCAACGAGCCACGAAAATAAAGAGGAAAAAGAAGTTCGTTGAACGCGTTTTCGTGCATTTTTTTCCCGGGCGTGAATGACTTCCCAGATCCGCTTTGGGCATACCCCCTCGGAAATTCACGTCGCGTTCGTATATGCACACGCGTTTTTATCCGTTTCGATCGGGATTTATTAATCCCGCACAACGTCGCAACCGTAGGATGAAACTACGGTATATGAAGTGCTCGACGGTCGAAGATCAATCTGCAGCGATTGTTTCAGCTCTCTCGGGGGGGGGGGGGGAAACCCGTATTTTCTCCGATAACCTTTGACGCGTATTGACAATAATTAATGTTTATGCGGTTCGGTGTACAAACCGCGGGTTTTAATTCAATACGTTATCGGTTTGTTCTGTAGTATATTTTTTTTTTTTTATTCGTTTTTATCCGCGAACAAATTTTCTACCAGAAATCTCGATCCGATTTCCCGAGAGGAAATTTTATCCGGGCGTTACTACTTTGGGAAGTTTTGATTTTCCACGAGGTTTTCATATTAATCGGGAAAAACGGGAAAACGTACGTATATGTATACAAATTAACTTCGATCCGAATCGTTGTTCCTTAACGACGGTTTATCGCTGCGCGCAAATTAAATTCCCCTCTACATACTATACCTTCCCAACTTCTCACCTACACAAACAGTGGCCCGCCCACCATACGGAGCATGTCCGTCTTTTTTTTTTTTTTTCACATATTGTTTCCCATCTGAGTGTAGAATAATTCAATTATTATTCCGTTCGAATATACGTGTTCGCAGATAATTCGATTGTTTTTTAACGTGTTGTAATGTTTGTAGTATACGCTTAGAACTATAGGGCGCCTATATAAAAGTGTCAGGGACAAAAATTAAAAAAAAAAAAAAAACAATACTCTTTTTAGGGGCAAACTTAGTACGGTGATGTGGATTTTTACCTGGACACGAGTTGTGGTGTTTTTTCGAGTCGACACTGCCGGTGTTCGACGAGTTGCCGGACGAGGAGGCGGCGGTGCTGGACGCGGAACTGGCGTTTACGTCGCTGGCGGTCCGGTTCGATGAGATCGTGTTGCCGGTCCTGCGCTTTCTGAGACCATACGTGTGTACAGGAACTATGAGTTTGGGCCTAGGAATGGCGAAATTGTCTTGGCCGCCGTTGTCGACGACTGCCGCGGCGGCGGTGGCGGCAGCGGTCATCGCGACCGAAGGATCGGCGACGGCTGTCGCGGAAGCGACCGCGGCCACGGCCACGGGCATTTGCAGCAGCCGTTGTTGTTGGCTGTCGTCGTGGTGCTGGTATTGCGCGTGATGGTGAAGATGGTGGTGGTGATGATTGTGGTTGTTGTCGTGGTGGCGGTTTTTATTGTGCTGGTACAGTTGACGGCTGTTGTCGTGGTGACGGTCTTCGTCGGCGACGGGCCGGAGCTGCAGACGGTCGCCGCCGGTGATGGCTACCTTTTTGGGCGCCGGGTTCCGGAACGACAGGCTCTTCTTGATCTTGGCAGCGGACGATCGGCAGAGATCGCGCGCCGCCGCGGCCGACGCGTCTGCGGCGGCCCGTTGTTCGTCCAACATTTCCGCGGCCACCCGTTGCCGCGTCCGGTACCGGTGCGCGGTAGTCTCGTGTCGGACGCTCTGCACCCGACTGAGCGCTTTGGCCTTTGGCCGGCGCGAAGACGCCGAGGCCGCTTGCAGCGCCGCGGCGTCCTGTTCCTCCTGGCTGCTGCCCGTGCTGTCGCTGCTGCACGCCTGTCTTTTTTCCGACGGGTTCCTGCGACCGACCATCGCGCCCGTCCTACCTCTACTGCTTCCGCCGCCGTCGCCTTCGTCGTAACAACAGTTGTCGTCGTCGTCGTCCTCGGTCCAACCGGCGGCCGTTCCACGGTCTTTGCTCCGCGAACGCAGACACCACTTCAACCGGCACTCTTGCCAACTCGCCTCGTACGAATTCATATGGTCGCTGGTCCGGCGGAGCGGTTCGTTGCAAACGACGTCGTCGACGTTGTTGTTGTCGTCGATATTGACGACGTTAACTTTGTCGTTGTTACTGTCGTCACCGTCGTCGTCTTCGTCTCCGTTGTCCTCCGTCTCCTCTTGGTACTCCTCCTTCGGTTCGGCAGTTTCGATGGCCGGCGGTTTAACCAGAGTAGCTTTTCCCGGGTACTTGACGAAGCAGATTTTCATTTTACGTCCATAATCATTGCTGCTGCTATTGCGGTTCGAACGCTAAAATATAATACACACAAGGGATCGAGAGAAAAATATTATTTACCCGTTTGGTTTTTTTTTTTTTTTTGTTTGGCTCAATATTACATTTTACACGTTATTCCGTCGCCGTTGCAGATTTTACGCAAAAACATTATTTCATATTAGTTGTACTCGCGTACAGTTGGAAATCCGATAACTTTCGTGTGGGTGATAGGGAAGCGGGGGCTAGAGCGATGTCCAAATGTATAGCTTATACATAATAAAGATCTTAAGAGGGGGGGGCATGTACGATCTCGGGTCGATAGGTCTTCCCCCCTCTATCCTCTCGATTTTTATTACTATCACTTATTACTGCTGCTACCTATTACTAATAAGACTGCACTATTATTATTTTCCTCGGTTTACAATCTTTTTTAACGTTCGGGTTTGTCTGTTAGATTTATTTATTGTTTCGCGGACGCCGGTAACTTTATCATATACGACACGAGAGTACCGCGCTGAACTCAAAACACCGAATAAACGTTGTATAAGGAAATAAAAATTACGATTTGTATTTTAGTACCGAGTAATTCATTTAAGTGGGTACACTCATTATCTCGGAACGTATTAACTTTTACCGGAATTTGTTTTCTAGAAGATTTGAAAAACAAGCTATCTATAATATTATTGTCGCCCTTATTTTTGGGCGTAAAACCACAATCTACTTTTGATTTTCAAATGGCAACCCATATTAAAAAGTCTATAAATAGATGGAGTATTAGTTAAATTCAATTTTAGTGTTGCATTTTTTGATTTCCGTTGATCCGTTGACGAGATATTACACTTTTAATTTTAGGTGGGAGGAGAGGAATGGAGTGTCATTTGTGTGGCGGTACGGCGCGCGCCGTGTTATTAATGCACCACTACTCTCCTCCCACCTAAAATTAAAAGTGTAATATCTCGTCAACGGATCAACGGAAATCAAAAATTCCAACACTAAAATTGATTTTAACTAATAACCCATCTATATATGGGCTTTTAAATATAGGTTGCCATTTGAAAATCAAAAGTAGGTAGTGGTTTTAGCCCGAAAAATAAGGGTTGCAAAAAATAACATAAGTATAAAATTGTAAAGCCAGTTGTTTTTTTAAATGTTCTAGTAAACAAATTCCGAAAAAAGTTATTACTTTCCGAGATAATGAGTGTACCCACTTAAATGAATCAGCCGGTATACCGGCGAGTCGATTACGACAATCGAAATACGTTCGAAAAGGAAAAAAACTACACCAGAATGCATCCGAGAACAACGAAAAAAAAAAACCCTTTTCTTGCCAATAAAATAGATTACTAAATCTAGACTCGTTACGTTCGTAAAACCGAAAAGATTTCGCGCCAAATTCGTAGGGGAATTCGTTTTTTTTTTCTACAAAATGAACCCACGCCGGTGGCGTGAATATTATAGACAAATAATAGAAGGAACAAAGAAAGCAAAAAATAACAAAGGACGGGTTTTTTTATTCGACATACTAATTATAGTTTTTCCCCCGTCGAATCCGATTGATCAGCGTGTTACTCGTGACTGTAACCCGATCGAGCACACTTGCCATCCGCAGGAATCCGCGAGACAAATGTTCGAAATACGACGCGATTGAGCACGAAAATACGCGCGCAACGTTGCCACGAGCGTTTTTTTTTTTTTTTGTTTCTCACTCGTACCTAAATAAAATACGTAAGATAAAAGAGAAATTTCAGTATTCAAACAAAATCAATGCGCCCTAATAAAGGAGGAGGGCAGATAACCCTAAAAACGACAGTCAACCCAACCTAAACGTAAAATCGTAGAGCTGCTCGTTTTTCAATAAGGTCCTGTACAAAACAAATTCCGAAATAAAACGTTAAAACTTGACGAGATAACAAACGTACCCACCCATCAAATGGATCGCCTTTTAGATACCTCCAATAGACAGTTGAATATGACGTGTCGACGACGATGTCTATCGAATTTCTGTTACTTTTTCGTTTACGGGCCGTAATACCAATACGGTCCCCCCCCCCCTCGAAAACTACAGTACACAACATTTGTTTTTTTTAATTTTTTTACACCTAATGGCGAATATTACCCGAAAAACAATAGATATAAGGATACGAGGCAGTATATAGGACCCGATCGAATCGCGTAAAATAATATATCCGAAAAAACGCGTTATTCCTCAGGCATACGAACCGAGTATACCGATTAATCGGTATACTCAGTTTGAGGTATTGTAGACGAATTCTCCGTGTTTCTAATCTCGTTTCTCGCGTCTCGTTATTCTAATCGCCAACGGCCAAACAAAAAATTAATATAATTTATTTAAATACCGTCGTGCGTAAGTACTAAGGTCGCATTGTATTCTGACGAACGGTAATCGGTCGATATTCCGAACAACAATACAGTAAATTTTAGTAAATAGAACAATTATTACTGTATCGAAATGTTATCGGGTATTGTTGTTTTCGGCGATTATGTACGATTGTCGGATTTCAGAAAAGACGCGTCCGTTGTCTAGGGAATTATCGAATTTTTTTACGGTTTTTTTTTTGGTTTTTGTCGCAAATTTAACAAACGAGCCGCTCTGGAACGTTACCATCGATTTTCGCTAGTATAGTTTAATACTCGCTTTTGATTTAGAAAAGAAAAAAAAAAAAAGGAATCTAAACACTCGAAATTTCGTGAGTATACAAAGTTTTCCCCCCTCCGTTTAAACACATCAAATGGTTCACGGAAATTATATAGCAGCGACGAAACGCGTATATTACATTATGTCGACGTTTATTTTACGATTACACGCGATTTAAAAATCCCAATTATTGGCGATAACGTCACGGGATTGCATCTCGTCGGTATAATATTTGATCGAATCGACTGGGTGTTTATCCGCCCGATACGAAATATAGAACTTTATTCGTTGGATTAAGGATGAAAAATGAAAAAAATAAATCAAAAACGACGTCTCAAAGGGATTGGAAGCGGCGATTTTCCGACGATACGCATTCCGGAAACAGATTTGTCCTCAAGTCTACACACTCCGGAACGGTAACGCGTTTAAATTCCTGTGTCGCGAGTGCGTAACTCAAAGACAGAAAATCGTCTCTTTAAACCCATAACGTTTTATGGGTTTACTGTTGACACGACAAGTGTCAATAAAAAAAAAATTAAAAAATAAAGAGTAAAAAATCGGTCGGAAAAAGAAAACGAATTCTCACCGCCGGCGAAAGAGTACCGCCGAATATCGACAGAGTTCCGTTTTCAACGAGACGCAGAACACGTTCGTGAAATTTCGGTCGCGACTTTCGTTTTCGGCCGTGTACCAACGACGCGGCAATAAAATATTCTACTGCGGAGTACATCTACTGCGCCGCAGTAAAAAAATAAAAAAAACATATCTACCAAACCTAACCTAACAAACGATCCGAAACTTTTTTCGCAAAATAACTTTCGTACACAGGCGCGGTGGTTATATAGCATAGATATTATAAGGGGAGGGCGGTGGCACTAACACGATTATGTATGCTCGATACGAACTCGATTTGCGGACAGGGGCTTCGGGAAGACTAAGTCCCCTCCTTATTGGCGCCTATGCGCGTCCGTAGCCCCGAACCCGGAGAAACGTCAAACCATAATATTGACCATAGGAGATGTCGCCCCTGTTATTCCTTTTATCGTACGCGATTCCGGTACCGGTCCCGAGAGAGGCATTTTTTCCCATCTTACGCACGGCTTTCGCGCCCGTTTGAATACTTCCCGTTGCGGGGAGAGCGGTAAAAACGCTAAAGGTGCCGTCGAGCGGACGGTTTCTGAATTCGAGCTAGAGACTCCCGACTAACGGATTAAACGTAAAAAATGAACGTAATTTCTTATGCGTGTTTACTAAGGAAATTTGTATTCGTCTCGATTTTTATTCGTGTCCGAATTTACGTGAGGTGTCATGCGTTCGGGCGAATTATACGTTTCCCCTCCCTCCCCGTATAATAAAAAAACAGCGCGTTTGAGTGAATTTCTATAATAATTTGAGCTAGTATCATATGATAAGTACAATGTATAAAATAACGAAATTGTAAATAATACACACCGAAAATGTCGCAGAACACCTGCATATATTATTTAGAATTGATGATAAAAAAGCCCCTGACTAAAAACCACATAATGAAAAAAAAGCCTAGACGTAGGAAAAGAGCATCAACGTAGGAGAAAAAAAATCCCCAGGCAAAAGATACAGTTATTGACATCTTAAAAAAAAATTTTTTTCCTAGGCTTTTTATTTGGTTTAATGATAACTTTCATCGCATGATAATAATAAGGTAACCAAAAAAAACCAGTAACCAAAAAACAGTACTGAATACGATATTGCGATGTAGGTATACTTTTGTTGGAAGCCTAACTATTTATGCTATTTTTTGATTTACCAAACATAATATCTTATATATTGTATTTTTGGACTCGGGGGGGGGGGGGGAGGTTAAAATAATAATTTTAGTATATTCGTAGTCAATTTATCCATTTATCGGCTATTGCAGGAATATTTGATTGCAGTTTTTGCAGTAGATAAATAATAATTAAACATTTTTTTTTTTTTTTCGGGGCTTATCGTTGTCGCGCCGATCGAAAATTCAACCTTTCCCCCCTATCGAAAACCGAAACGATTCCGTTGCGGCCGAATGAGAGGGGTGATGGGGGGAGGGAAGCAGTGATAATACGGATCGACACAGAGCGTGCGGCACGAAAAACTATTAGTTTTAGCCACCGATTCCCTGCGCCTGTATAATTCACGTTATCGACGTGCGTATTAACACGTTAAGCCGATAAGTAATCCGTATACGAGAGCTCCACCCGCGATAAATGTCGTAAGAAATACTGTTATTATTCATATTGACGGGCGGCAGTAATAATAGTGTAGCAGCAGCGTGTGTAACATAATAGCAGCGGTATTATAGCAGTTTTTCCCCTTGCTTTTTTC